TATTTCCTGAGCATGATTTATCACTGCTGACCTCATCTACCAAAAATGCAATACATTCATGTCAGATACTGCCACAGCCCCTCCTTAAAAGTGGCAGATGGATCTGCCCCAGCAGAGCACAGCCAGAGACAGAAAACAACAAGAATGCAGCTCTCTGAGACCTAAAGAACACAAATCTCTGCCCTGATCCCTCCAAAACAGACATGACATAATTAATCTAAGGAATTTTTGCAGAGAGATTTTTGCTTCCACCACCACATTAATTTACTTGGGTTATGGTTAATTTAATTGTGTTATATATTGAAAAAAAATACTTCAGGCAGCCACTGATGTTTAGACTCCCCACTGTGCAGACTTGCTCCAAACAGGCCTGGGCAATAGCTGGAAGTGTTCATCCCTGCCAGCATCCTGAGCCTACACCTGGTTCTCACAGGAGACCATCTCCAACAGAGCTGAGATGATGGAGAACTGCAGAGCAAGAAGTTCAGCTGGTTAGACCAACAAGGTGCTGCCCAATCCTGCCCATGATGAAAACTGAGGGATATTAAGAATGATTTTTTAACAGACATTTAAGTGGGAATTTGGAAGCCACATTCAGGCATTACGCAGCTCAGAACATTAGGAAATGGACCTTGCTGAAGTCCACATAAGCTGGAACGTTTTGAAGTTCAGCTGAACATCTTTGAAGACAATTTAGCATTAGACTCCCAACTGTTTGGATCCCACCAGCCTTGTTCCCGTAATCCCTGCTCACACAGGGCCTGCCAGCACATGGCAAACCACCAGCTGTGACAGGAAAAACACATTAAAATCACCAACAACCTGCTGAGTGTTGGCTCTCAGGTCCTGTTACTCACAGGACTTTGGGTGGCCTGGCCAGAAGTGACTTTCTCTGGAGAGGACAAACATGCTGTGACTCGGGATGAACCGCAGGAGTGACAAGACACGTGGAAGGAGCACAGTCAGGGCAAGTGCTGCAGACACAGGACCTCCCCAGCAGAGTCCAGCCTCCAAGGAGACGAGAGCACGAAGCCTAAAGGCAGTGGCAGCTCCTCAGGAGCCCGGCTGGCTCCGCAGTTTGCCGTCCTTCCCAAGCTCTCGCTCCAACATGCCAGTCACGTGCTCTGCAGAAACCCAGATTTCTATCTCACTGACAGTGTTATTGTACGTTGTTCTGGCAGGTGACCAAACCACCATTGACTCTTTTCAGCTCAGCCGAGGTAGATTTTATCCTCTGAGATCCCAGAGATCCACATCCCGCAGCAAAGCCTTCCCTCCCTTCAGGGCTATGGAGCCGAAACGCTTTTAGTTCTCTGCCACAACAAAGAGGAGCCCTGAGCAGAGGTCACAGCAGTGCTCTGCATCCTCTGCCCCACTCCTGGTTTAGAATAAAGGTCAGTAGGTCTCCTTCCACCCCTGTGCTCGTATCCTGTCCTCCCCACCGGAGCTGACAGCTCAGCCAGGCTCCTCCAGCAGCTGCCCAGCACATCCGTTCGGAGCTGGAAACGGTCACTGAGTCCTCAAACTGAGTCACACTCTCACTGCTTTATCTGAACTAATGTTGGCACACCTTGGAGAGGCCTCAAAACAGCCACGAGAGCAGATGAAGAGTCCTCAAGGGCACCTGAACCCCACAGGAGGACAAAAAGCTCCCTGCCCACCCAGGCAGCCTGATGCCCAGGATGGGCACAGCCATCCAGCTGCAGATCCTGCTGTGTCCCATCACACACAGCCCCACACTGACCTTCAGAGCCCTGGGTGGGCGCTGCCTGTCCCACCACAGCAGCTCCAGTTGCACAAGAGAGCTGGGAAATGGTTATCCTGACACAGGAACAGCATCTCTCTCCCCCTCACCAAGACCCAGCTCCAACTCCAAAACTAACAGCTGCTTCACATATTTGAAGGTCTGGACGGAGCAATAAAGCTGTTTTTCCTGAAATTTCTTGCACACCAGCAGAATCCCTCAGGCCACAGCAAAGTCACAAGTCTTGCAGACTGCCAGCAGCCCAGGGCAGGGGCTGGAGCTCCCTCTGTGCAGCCCAGAGCAGTGCTGGAACCTGCTCCCAGCCTGTCCCAGCCACCCTCCCACTCCAGAAAGCCAGGCAGGATGTGGGGGATGTGGGCCAGAGGACATGGACCTCATCAGCTCCATTTTGCTGGGATCTTTACTACAGTCAGGCTTTCAGTGGCCAGACATGGGGATGAAAAGAGAGGCCGAATTCCCACATTTCAAGCAAAACACCACTTGCATCTCACAGAACAGAGGGTCCAACTGCCAGAGCTGCCTCCCTCCCTCCCCCGGTATGTACGGCCCTGGCTGTACATACAGACACCCACTGATCCACAGCATGTGGATCAGCATGTGCTAGACCTGGTTTCTATCTCTCCCAGATCCCTGCTGGGCACCAGCAAACCGCTGACATTTTCCAAGTCATCAAAGGTTCCCTAAACACTGCTTCCCTGAGCAAATCCAAGGCAAGGTTTGGAAAGGTGGGCTCATTCACCCCAAGAGATACAGGTAGGTGCTCACTAAAACCAGCGTCAGGTTTGATTTTGATACCCCAAAAGAGAAAGGGACTTTGGTATGAGCTCTCAGCTCACAGGATCCCTCTGCTTCTGCCCAATTCAGGCCAAAATCTAGTTTCTGAAAACCCCTACACAGCTACAAAATAGAACCCTTGTTTTTGGCCTGTTGCCTTGGCGACACACAGTGATCTCTTGGGAAGAAACCAAGGAATGCATCCTAATACGAGCTCCTTCCTTTTCAGGCATCAACTCTCAGCCTTATTACCCAGAGTAAAAGCCACAAACATCCTCTAGGTCAAGAGTAAACAGAAATCTTTCCATTTGCTCCAGCATCAGCATCTTCTAAACGCTGTCTGCAGAGTCAAACCCTGTACTTGCCACTCCAAGCAAGAAGGGAACTGAAAGAAAAACGGGTGTTTCTCCCACTACATCACCACATTTAATTTCACCCAGAAACTTCTGTCTCTACTACTTCTCCTTAAGCTGGATCTTAGTTTCCAAAGGGTCCCCATTTGTTTCAGTCTCCTGAGCTCTGCAATATTAAAAGGCAGAGTAGGAACTGCCTGTCACATCTCTCCTCTCCAAACCTAGATGTTTACACAAGTTCTCATGCAGGACATCCCCTCAAAGGCTGTTTAGAGCTGTGTGTGCACCTTGCAGTATTTAGCACCTCATGTGCACAGTGGGACAGTTTAATGCCATTAAGCTGATAAGAACATGAGCAGAGAAGCTCCATGACGTGCCCAATGTCACACAAATCCAACACTGACAGACGGAACAGCTCTTAACCAATATCATGGTATTTTTGGTTAGGAAAGGTCCTCTGGAGGTCTCTCGTCCCAACTCCTGCCTTAACCAGGTCTGACCTGCCAGTTGCTCAAGGCTTTCCCCAGGCAAGTTTCAGACAGCTCCAAGGTTGGAGATGCCACGACTTCTCTGGGGTTCTTGTTCTGGTGTTTGACCAACTTAAAAACAACTCAGTCAGTGCACCGGTCTTGTCCTCATCTCCCTCCCTTCACTTTTGTAATGTTAAGGACAGCTTCCATTGTGCACCACTGAATTGGTTTGGTTCTGTTCTTTGTGCCCCTACAGCACTCCCTGCTCAGAGGAATCAGCTCCCCAGCTGCATCAGGAGCAGGGCTTACCCAAGTGTGGCTGTCCCACGAGGTTCCCTCTGTACCTTCTGCTCCATCCTAAGAGCACCCATAACTGTAACATGTTGTGTTGATATTTTCACCATTTATAGCACACACCTGATTTGGTGTAAATCTGTTTAACGCCCCAAACTGAACTGAGCAGAGCCAAGAAAACAGCTGGAATGGGTTCAAGCCAGCAGGTGTTTAAACAGAACAACTCCAGTCGGACCGAGCATTCCCCTGTAGGAGAACAAGATAAAACTTCAGGAGCAATGAGCAACAATCATCACTCCTCATTTGCTTATTCTGGATCTCACAGTGCTCGTGGTCCAGACCTGCTCCCTGCATTAGTCACCATCAAATTAACACAGGCTGCGTATGCTCAGGAAGGAATTTAACAGCGTTAAGCCAGGGAAGCAGCACTCCCTGTCTCCCTTCAAATGAGATGCATCCTGCTCAAAGGATTTCCTCAACTTATAATGCTCAGCGCCTCAGGCACCCGTGTGGATTCAGTCCATCAGCCATCTAGCTGGATTTAGGTAACGGGAATGTCAAACAGCTCTTCCTGCTATGGGAAAACATGTCATGTTGCAGCTTAGAAGTCAGGATCTGTCACCTCAGTGTGCTGCTTTCAGAGCCCAACAACACGCCCACTCCTCCTCTATGTTTCACCAAGCCCTACAAAGATTAATTCTCAATGTAGGGCTCACAAGGATCCAAGTTAGATCCCAAGCAGTGAGAAAATCTGGCATTCAGTCTGAAGGCACTTGGAGCAATCGACATCTCGCGGATCTTCAGAGCTGTAGCTGCACATCCAGACCACGCAGGTGGTATAATCCTATCAAGGGGAGTTAAGTTCTTGCTGATCTCTTTCTGCCTAATCAAGACCTAATTCTTGAGCCTCTATCAATAGATCACTAATACGGGGAGGACACCAATGCCATGCTGCCCAAGTGACCACGGGGAGCTCAACATGTCCAGCACCCGTAGACACAGCGAGCAGAGCTGGAGGGAAAGCCCACAGCTGTTCAAACCTTGCAACTCACCCTGATTTCCTAAATATCTGAAATATTTCACTTTCTGTTATCGTATCTCCAAGAGGGGACGGGGTGGGAGAGGCCCTGCAGTTATCACAGGGAACATCCCACCCTCAGCTGCTTCGTGGAACAGCACCCAGTGCCCCCTCCCCGAGAGCAGCCTCTGGCTCCCAAAAGGATCAAGATTATCTTCCCAAACACACTTCTCATCTTCCCACCCGGTGCCTCACAGACAGACAGGCCAAAAGTAGCCACGTCCAGCCTGGCTGCTCAGCACAGAGGTGTCCCAGGCAATTATTACCTTCTTGCGACGGGAGCCCGTCTTGCTCATGCAGGACCTCTCCAGGGACAGGTACCCCCCGATCACTTCGATCTCGTTCACTGAGGGGTAGCGCTTTTTATGGGGTATCCCCACCTGGGGCCCATCAGCATTCTCCATGGCTTTGCCTCTTCCTTTGCTCTCCTCCTCCTCATCCTCTTCCTCCCGCTGCGGCCTTCCGCTGGCATCAGTGAGAGTCTGCAGCCCCGAGGCAACGGGCTTCCTTTTGGGCACGACAGTGAAGGTGCTGCCTCCCCTCTGGTGGGGGGCAGAGTGGGGTCTGTAGAGGGGCACGGAGGAGAACTCCATCTCCAGGTCAGGGCCAGCTCCTCCGGGCTGATCCAAGCTCCCCGTCCTCGCAGTCGAGCCGGCCCTGGGAGAAACCTCCCCACTGTCCGGCTCCACAATGTCATCGATGTAAGTCACAGGTACCAGCGGGTCCAGAGGAGCCGACGGGGAAGCGGCGGGCTCCTCCTGCTCCGGGGCGGGAGCCCTCGGGGGCTCCTTCGCTGCCTTCTCCTCCGAGGGCGGTGGCGGTGGCCGGGCGATGTGGGCCGGGGGCCGAGCCGGGCCGCCCTCCCGGCGGGGCACGAACAGGAAGGAATTGCGTGAATTCAGGCGCAGCTTGGCCAGAGCCTGAGCCTGCAGGTCGTGGGCTGGGATGGCCGCCAAGTCGGGCTTGGGGGCCGGGTGGATCTCGAAGGAGCCCCCGGCCCGGGGGGCTGAGGCGGAGAGCGGCTGAGTGGCGCCGGTGGCACTGGGGGCCAGACTGGCACTGGGCAGGGGCGACACGGCCGCCTCGGCCTCCTCTGGCTTTGGCCTCCTGGCGTTGGCTCTGGCATGGGAAGGGCTGGCGGATGGCACTGGCGGCCCCTTGGGCGGCGCGGGGCGGCCCGCGGGGACAGCTCCGGGCTCGGGGACGCGGGCGCCGGGGGGCTGCCCCCGGGGGGTGACGGTGAACGAGTTGGAGCTGATCTTGTGGAGGAAGCAGTTGGCCTGGGGGGCCGCAGCCTTGGGGGCGGCGGGAACCGCCTGGGGGGCTGCGGCCCGGGGGGCAGCCGGGGCGGGCTGGGGGGCCGCGGGCTCGGGGGTGACAGCCCGGGGGGAAACCGCGGGCTGCGGGGCGACAGCCCGGGCGGGGGTCGTGGGCTGGGGGGTGACAGCCCGGGGGGGAGCCAGGGCTGCCTGCGGGGGCACGGGCTGGGGGGTGACAGCCCGGGGAGGTGCCGCGGGCTCGGGGGTGACAGCCCGCGGGGGAGCCGGCAGCGGCTGGGGGGTGACAGCCCGGGACGGGGCCGTGGGCTGGGGGGTGGCAGCCCGGGGGGACACCGGCTGCAGGACAGCGGGCTGGGGGGCGGCCGGCACCGCCGGGGGGGTGGCAGCCCGGGGTGGCGCCGGCAGCGGCTGCGGGGCGGCGGGGACCGCGGGCGGGGATGGCGGTGCCGCCTTTGGCGCCGGGGCCCGGGGGGAGCCGGGGCCCTTGTGGAGGGGCGCGGGGGCGCGGGGGGAGCCGGGCCCCGCGGCCCGGGCAGCGCCCGGTCCCACCTGCGGAGGAGCCGCGGCGCCGCCGGCGCCGGTCCCGCTCAGCGCGTCCCCCCCGCGGCGGCGGCGGCCCCGCGGGCGCTGCCCGAACTTCTCCAGGAGGCGGCTGACGGTGCCCGGCTCGGCCGCCTCGGGCGGCTCCGGCGGCTCGGCCGTCTCGTAGATGACGACCTGGTCTGCGCGGATCTCGGCGAGCGCGGCCCCGCGCCGGGCCAGCAGCTCCCGCAGCGGGTCGGGGCCGGCCGGGTCCCGGCGGCGGGCGGGCGGCGCGTCCCCCGCGGCGAAGCAGGCGGCGGGGTCGGTGCGGGACTCGATGATGAGGATGTTGTCGGCGCGGATGGTGCGGATCCCGGGCACGGCGCTGTACAGCTCCAGCAGCTGCTGCAGCGGCCGCGCCGCCGCGCCGGGCCCGGGCCGCCCCTGCCGCAGCCGGCGGCGCTCGCTCTCCAGCCGCATGAAGGGGTTCTCGCGGAGCGGGCCCAGGCTCTCGGCCACCACCAGCCGCTCCCCGGCGGGCGGCTCGGGCTCGCCGCCCGCCCCCGCCAGCTTGGCCCGCTTGCGCTCCAGGATCTCCCGCTGCCAGGCGGGCTGAGCCCGCGGCCCGGCGCCGAGCGGCGGCTCCGCGCTGCTCATGGCGGCGGCGCTGGGGCTCTGAGGGCCGGGCCCCGCCGCGCCGGGCCGGCCCCGCGGCACCGCCCCCGGGCCGGGCGGGGCGGGTCTGCCCCGTCCCCGCCGCTCTGAGCGCCCCGCCCGGCCCCGGCTCGGGGTGGGACTCACCCGGGGAGCATCCCCGGGGCTGGGGACCGGCCGGGCCCGCTGCCCGCACCGCCCTCCCCTCGCACACGGGAGCCCCCGGCCCGCGGGGTCTCGGCCTCACGCGGGCCACGGTGACCGGCACAAGGAACCCTGAACACCCACATCTGCCCTTTCCCCAAATCCCGGACTGGCCCGCGGGGCACCAGCCCAGGACAAGAGAGAAAATCGCCCTTGGGGGTCACTCGTAGGATCTTGGCCATAGTCCGGGCAGGTGCCTGGGCAGGAGCGGCCGTGCTGGGCAGGGAACGAGCCCCGAGTGCCAGAGCAGTGTCCGTGCCAGCCATCCCGTCGGAGGAGTGCTTTAGGGAGAGCTCTGATGGAGACAAGTGGCACTTCCCACGGCACGTGGCAGTAAAGCAGGGAAAGCATTTTTCCCACCAGCTTCGCTCTTCAGGCTGCCCAGGGAGGTCGTGGAGTCTCCTTCTCTTGGAGACATTCCAAACCCACCTGGACGTGTTCCTGTGTCACTTGCTCTGGGTGACCCTGCCTTGGCAGGGAGTTGGACTGGATGATCTCCAGAGGTCCCTTCCAACCCCGGCTATTCTGTGACTCATCAACAGCCACTTGTTGAGTACAAAAGTGCCGCCGCGGCGTTATTTCCAGTCAGTCCTGTTATCAGCCACCTGCAGCTGTCTTTGGGAATTCTGAGCGATCAGGAAACGATCACTGGTCAGTGCAGGACTTCCCACACCTCCCACAGCGGCAGGGGATGAAATCCTCACCCCGGGAGGCACGGGGGATGTGGCACACGGTGACATAAATAATCTTTGGCCAGGATTTGGGGAGGTTCTGGCCTGGCTGGGAGCTGTGGAGCCGCACCCCGGCATGCCCGGTGGGGGTGATGCACCCACTGCAGCCGGGCTGCCCAAAACACAGGTGTGTTTACGGGAAGCAGCTCCGCGTACTCCTGATAAGGCTCCTACCTTTGCACTCCCAAGCCACAACAGAGCAATTGCACCTTCTTCAAACGCTACGTGGGAATTATACTACGAAAAATAGATATTTTTTTTTATTGCCAAAGCTGCCCACGTGCCGCGGTGCCCAGCTGTGCTGTGTGCCCCGAGGAGCTGCTCTGCTGCGAAGCAAAGCCCAGGGGAAGGAGGCAGCTCTTCGCTTTTCACCTTAAATAACACCCGGGTGATGTGAGGTTCACACATGACCTGCTGTGCTCCCCGAAGCGACAGGTCCCTGATGCACCACCCGCCCCGAGCCCTTGCTGCCCGGGGCTGAGGATAAAGACCAGGCAAGCGGGCAGAGACATTTCCCCGCCTCTGGTGACTCATGGCTCAGGCACGGCCAGAGCCAACAATGTGCCTTTGTGCTCGGAGATCTCAATGGATTTCTCTTTCGTGGTCTTGTCTGGTTGGCTTTTGAGCCCGTGTAAAGCCCATAAATCCTGAAATAATGAATCCCACACAGTTTTGCTGCACCTGGCGCAAAGAAAACGCCTCCCTTTGTGGGCATTGAACCTGACATCTGCTGGTTTCGCTGCGTGCCCGTCTGCCTTTAGAACAAAACAATAAATCCAGCCATTATTCATCTCCTCCCCTGCCAGTCAGGATTTGAGAGCCTTCTATCATTTCTGTCAACTGCTCTGTTCCTCGGCTGAGAAACAGTGTCAAGGGCTGGGCAGTGAGACTTGGCTGGCGGGAGGGTGCTTTGGAGCTAATCCCCTGCTCCGCTGTGTTCGCACCCCCGGGGAACCCCCGGGCACTGCCCGCCTGTGTTACTAAGAGGCTCCCGGGAATCCCGCGCAGCGCTCATGTTTTGGCACAGGAAGGAGCGCTCGATTACAAACCCCAGGTGTGACGGCGGCAGGGCCCAGGGCTGGGAGGGTGTGATGGCAGAGTGCCATCGCGGGGCACTGGCACGAGTTCCCGGAGCCCGGCGGGGCTGGAGTGGCTGCGGAGCCGCAACGGGACGTGGCAGGCACGGCACATCCGAACCAGCCGTGGCACTGGGGGCTGGCAACATCGGGGTCTGCTGGGACAGCCCCAGGGACAGCCAGGTGATGAGGAAACAGGGACAGAGCAGGGCCCAGCAGGACTGGGGGAGGTGTGATTTCACCTCATACCCCAGGGCAGAGCAAGACTCCACCTGCACAGCTCCTGCTCTGGCTCTGTCCATCACACACCCTGTGGAAGGGAGAGGGAGGAAGGCAATAGGTAAAAGTAATCCATCCTAGCTGGGCTTCTCCAGGGAGTTGGGCTTTGTACCCTATGAGACTGATTTACAGCCAGGACAGTGCCCACATGGTTCCAGGGTAAGGAATGCAGACTATCTTTCTGGCCACCGGGTACTCCGGGCACCAGCGATGCCAAAAGGCAGAGCAGTGGCCAGGCCAGTGGCTGTGCAGTGGGTGATAGGCACTAAAAGTGATTTCTGTCATCTGTCACACTGCTGAGATGTCACACACATGGCGTGTCCCACCCTGCTGTGGTGGTGGCACTGGGAGAACGTCCCCACATGGGGAGCGAGGATTGAGGAGAGGAGGCTGAGAGATCCCAGGGCTGAAGGAAAATGCCTCAAATGACAGAGCTGTCCAGCCTGTTTCTCTCTGCCTCTGCTCCGAGGGGCTGCAGTTACCACATTTACCAGAACATGAACATGCAGGTGACTGCCAGCATTAGAGATAAGGGGAAAATGTCAGCTGGGAGTTCAAGCCAGAGCTGTTCCCTCTGGCAATTCAGTCAAACAGACCCGTGAGAGAGGAAGTGGCTTGTCAGAATCCATTGCCTTCTGCTCTCCTGGGATGTGCTGTGTTTTGGAGCCACTCTGTTTTCCTCAGAGGGATTACCAGGCCTTTACCCTCCCGTGAATTTCCCCAGGGCTCTGTTTCTGTGTCCAGGGGGGTGCTCAGGGATTAGCCTTCCTCCCAGGAAGAGGCACAATCCCTAATGCACTCTAAGTTCCTTAGCACCCCAGTCCATGCTCACTAAGCCTTAGATACTCTCAGAACCTGAATCTCTCTGTGCTATCCCTGTACTATCCCCGTCACTGGATTTGTGGTCCTCAGATGACATCAGGATTTTTTACTTTCCTCCTCTTCTAGCTGCATCTGGGCCTCTTGCCCCTTCTGGAGCTTTGTTCATCATTTCCCTGGCTGCTGCCATTCAGAGGTGCCTGGTGCCTGTATGTCCCTCACTTGCATCACAGGTTCATCACACACCATTTCCCTCACACAGCATCTGCCAAGTGCCATTTCCTGGGTTTATAAACTCAGCCAGAGAACAACAGCAACAACAACAACAAAATGAACAAGAGAAAAAAACTTGCTTTTCCAGAAACATCTGTTTTTATTCAATCACATCTTTAACCCCAGAAACATTCCTGTGCTCGAGGCCTGGTTGTCACACATGAAGTAGCAGAGCCTCAGAGGGACCTGATAACAGAGGCAGAGGAGGTGGCAGAGACTCCTCCCTGGGCAGCAGCAGCCAGAAACCACCTTGAAAGCTGGGGAGAGTGCTGGGGTAACATCCTTCTCACTTTTCCAAGGAGCTGCTCCAGCACCCACCGAGACCTCAGAGCTTACAGTCTTTGCTTTCAAAACTCTCATGTTTTGGCCCCAAACTGGTCTGTCTCAGGTTGAGCTCTCTAACCCTGGGGCTCTCTTGGGGCCAACATTTCCAGCTCCTTATGCACCTGCTGTGCCTTCAGCTTCCCACTGAGGTGGGATGGGCAAAGAGGGGCCCGAGTGCTCGGACACACGTGGGCAGTGCAGACTCAGCCTGGCTGGAGCAGCACAGACGGACTCAGCCACACTGCCCTGCCCTTGAGTTTGATCTCTGAAAGGAGTGGGATGCTGTCAGCTCCCTCTGAACACAGCTGAGAGCAGAGGCACAGTCGGCAGAGTGTTTTATCTTCACAAGGTTTGTCAGCTGATCGATCACACTTCAGTGATTTGGGATTCCCCCTCATTATTTTGATAATGTTGCTTCCTTTTTTTCCTCTCGTTAACATCTCAGAATTTAGGGGCATTGCTGGACATAACCTGTCCTTCTCCACATTACCAGGCCCATGTCCAAAGCCTGCTACTCAGGCTTCTGTTTTCTTTTCAGAAAGCTGCTGATGCCCCTCACTCACAGCTCTGCAGAAGCAAAGGGAGGGGTTGCAGCTGAGTAAAGGAGCTGGAAATGAAAACATGCCTGAACTCTGCTGGGAAACAGTAAAGATCCCAAAGGGCACTGACTCCCAGCCCTGTGACAGCTCAGGTTGTTGTTACTTGGTATCACAGCCCAGTTCCAGGAATAGTGTTATTAAAGAACAACAGGAAATACACAGCAGAAAAAGCACAGCCCCTTCAGCTCATTTGGGTACGACTCCAGCCTGGTTCCCTGGGGTGGGGAACACCAAACTCGCTCGGTTCCTTCAGCCATCCCCACCTGAGGACCCAGCACAGCCAGGTCTCAGCACAGGGGCACAGGGAGCAGGATCTGTGCTCAGGGGTCTTGCTTGGCTGTGCTTATCTGTCAGCTTTTTAGGGCATTTCAAATGTCAGGGCAAAGATCCCTGTCCTTGAATTCCCAGCTCTGCACCAGCTCCACCTTAAGAGCACCTTGTAGCTGTGACTATATCGCTGCAACAGAGATTTAGCACTAAAATATAAATTAGAAAAAAATTCTCTCATAACTCCACACTTTCTATTGAAGCTTTTTGAACCCCTTGATGTGCATCTGAGCTGATCCCGAGCCAGAGCCCAGGGGGATGGTGGCAGTGCCCAGTCCCTGGCTGTCACAGCTCCCACAGCTCAGTGTCCCCAGGTGAGGAACGTTCCCCAGGCACAACTCAACACATCCCTGAGTGACCAGGGAGGAAAACTCCACCTGGCCACACACACTCCCCAGGACAGGGGGAGCAGGGCAGGGGCTGTGCCCGAGGGTGTGGCTGTATGGACTGGGTGAAGCACAGCAGGGGCCACTCCAGGACACAGGGCCAACGCTTGGGGACACAGGGCCAACATTTGGGGACACAGGACCAACACTCGGCTCCATCAGGTGCTTGGGGGTCTCTCTCTCTCTCTGCTCAGCAGTGCAGGTGGAGAGGCCCCTCCTGTAAAGGTTTATAGGCCATTGCTGCTGTGACTAATCACCAGTTCACTGGGATGCTGAGATAAAGAAGGAAGATTGGAATGCCCAGTTAACTGAGTTACTGTCCCCACTCTGGGAATATAGGGCAACTTGTGATGGGTCTTATCTGTCCTTACCTATGCCACTTCTAAGGATACTCCAAAAGCAATACAATACTGTGAAGAATGTTTAGGTTGTATTAGTTCTTTAATATTTACCAAACATCTATGGAAAGCAGCAATGTGGTTTCTCTTCAGATGGATTCTTTACATTTAATGTCCATAATGTTTATTCCTTCCAGTCTTTACATTTCTCACACTGACTGGCAGTGGGTTGGGCTGAAGTTATTTCTGAACCAAAGCTGCTGCTGGTTCCTGCTCTTTCACAGATCATGCACTGCCTCAGTAAGAGGTTATCTTACTGTTAACTCTGCCAATTACACAGCAGGATCACCTGGGAGTAACGATGACCCCAGTCAGGTTCATGGCCATTAAAGCACCCATTTGCTCACTCAGCTCCCATATATGATACCATTAGCAGGCTGACTCGCCCACAGAAGTTTCCAGTTGCCTTTGGCTTGTGTTTCCACAATGAGAATTAAAAAACACTTCCATGGAAGATGCAGAAAGCCACAGATCCGCTGTGGCCAGTGGGACAAAACACAGGATCACAAACAGCTCTTTACAGATGACGTGGAAGATGATATTGCCACTCCACATCCCTCAGGAGGGTACTGGCATCCTTGGGAAGGACTGTCTGTATCACCAGCTCCAGGGACTGGCACAGCAAACCAGGGGCACAGAGAGGCTCAGCTTTACCTGCAGCTGCAGATCCCTGTCCTGGTGTTGGCAGTGGGGCCTGATCCCCCAGAGGATGACACAGCCCAGCTCATCCCCTGATGGAGGGTTCTGACAGCAGGTGCCAACTGCCAAGACCCCCAGAAGGATCTTTTTTCCTCATACAGTAACATATCTTATCCTGAACTAACACACAAATAATACACAGGAGTGACTCAAACTGGGTTGTGATGGGCTGGATGTTTACACTTACACCAAGCCTGCCATTCCACCTCCAGGGGGATTAAGGGCACACTCCCATCTCCAGATCCTACCAGGCTGGCTGTTTAGAATCAGCCCTTTCCATCCTTTCAGCTGACCCCACTGGTGCTGTGTGAAGGTGCCAAGGCAGCCCTGCAGTCCCTGCCAGCAGAGCCTGGGAACAGGAACTCCCAGGGCCGGGTCACCAGCGCAGCCACGTCCCGGAACAGCAGCAGCTCTGTGTGGGTGGGTGTGTGCCAGGCTCTGCAGTGGTGCCAGGGCAGCAGGGACACGTCACTGCCTCTCCCTGCACAAGGCAATGGAGGGGAGCAGCTCCCCTGACCAGGGACAGGGCCTGTGTGTGAGGAGGGAACACACACACACTCCAGAAGCCCCTGGAGCAGGAACCCTGTGCTGAGCTCCAGGCAAAAAGTGCAGGCTGAGAAATGAAGAACAAATTCCTTCTGGAGGTCCCCCGTGCAAAGGATCAGCAGAGCCCCTCCTCAGGCTGTGGGACATGGCTCAGGTGGCTCCAGAGGCACTCAGAGGCAGGACAGGGTGGGATCCCAGGGATGCACAGAGCAGAGTCCTCACACAGGCACGATGAGCTGCCTGGGGGCCTTTTGCAGTCAGATGTTTTGCTGGAGCTACAAGGACTTTTCCGTTTGGTTTTTTTTCAACACAGGAAGGGATTATTTGGGAGTTCATCTGTTTCCCACCCCAGGCCTGGAGGTCAGCTGCAAAGGGAAGCTGGTGGCTGCAGCACAAGGAAAGGTAAAAAAAGCTTTATCTCAGTTTTCTACCTGTTCCTATATCCCTCAGGTAACTTGAATTTTCTTCTTCCCTTTCCTTCCCAGCCAAACAAGAGGAAAACCCCTGTACAGGACAAGTGCCACATCCAAGAAGACAATGATCCCCCCAGGCCTTTACAGCTCAGTGAACATTTCCCTGCAGGCACCAGAGGACATGGTGGGGCCACTCCCAGCAGGTGAGCCAGGCTGAGCCCCTCCTGCCACCCTTCTCCCCTCCTGGAGGTGACACTGCCAGCCCAGGCCATAACACATTTATCCACACAAGGGGCTGGAGGTCACATCCAATTCTGCCTCACAGCAAGGGCAGCACAAACCTCCACTGTTGGCTGGTGAACAGCCAGGGCTGGAACCCAATTCAGCCATCCCGGGTCCATCTGCCTCCCTCCAGGGGTAACCAGGGCTCTCCTGCCCCTGGGAAATGCAATTCCAGAGCACACAGGAGCTGCAGCAGCAGTTCCTTGGGGAGGGATTGAGTGTAACAGTGGGACAGGGCAGTGGATGCCCTGACAGAGCACAGGGGCAGGACCAAGCCACAGCTCACAGCATTTACTGCCAGCACAACTGGTTTCAGACACACCCCGAGAGCAGGCTGAGCTGTTGAGGGCTGGGAGGAGCTGGTGGAAGTGGAATGATGACAAATTGTCCTGTGTGCCCAGCAGCCACAGCTGCCCCAGGCAGGCACTGCAGGGAGCTGTGCCCTGGCCTTGGCATCCCAGGGGAGATAACGCAGGGATGCACAGGGAGCTGTGCCTGTGGGCACTGCCCTGGCCCTGGCATCCCCAGGGAGATGCTGCAGGAGCACACAAGGAAGCAGTGCTGGGCCTCAGAGATGGCCTGGCTGGGGCTGTGCCGGGCGCTGGCAGCGAGCACACACCCACAGCTCATCATTCTTTACAGGCTGGTCCCACTGAGGAAGTTCCAGGCTCTATTTTTACCTCTAAAGTTTAAATAATGACAATTTTTATTTTCCTCTGCTGACCCCTTCCTTTCCCAGCAGCAACCTGAAAAGCTCAATCGGTGAAAAAGGGCAAGAAATGTGTTTTCCTCTGTCACCACTGGTTAATTCCAACGATGCTGCTCCACACAGGATGTCAAACACCACAACTCTGTTCCAGTCACAGCTCTGAGAATATTTCCTCCCTTTAGGCAAATGAAGGCTACAAAGGAAATAATATGCTCATGTCATAAACATCACAAACTATATGAGGAATATAGATCTTTGGAGGGAAATGCATTCATCAGTTCTCATTATCCTATAAACTGCACCAGGAAAACAGTCCACAGTGTCCATTCCAACACACATCTTCCCACAGGAGTCACTGTACAATCTACCTTCTACTTTGCACCCCAAGTTCTACAAGTGGTCAGTGAGGATATACAACAGTTCTACAGAGAAATCACTCCAGTGGATACAGAAACGGGCCCTTTTGGGGTTAAATAAGATTTTCAATAGTTCCACAATGCTACATTCATGCTACCAAGTTCACTGAATTGGGATTTCACTTCAGGAAAGAGAAAGGAAGAACAGTTTGTCTGTCTCCAGTTAGGAGGTGAAAGGGTCAGAAAAGGAGAGAGTTCTGCGTCAGCATTTTAATCCTCCCACAACCATTTCCTTCTCCAGATAACGTGACTTTGTGCTTCCATTGCACCTCTGGCTCCCACCTCTCACCTCAGAGCTGGTGGGAGCCACAACATTAAATAGTAATTGGCATAAATTTTGGTGGTTTTTTTTTTGTTTTTTTTTTTTTTTACATCTGGCATTTCCTTCCAAAAGCTACAGACTGGTGCCTGTTCTTCCCTTCACTCCAAGTCTGGCAAACCTGAGTCCAGGGATGAGATGTGGCTCCCAAAGCTCCCGAGGTCAGGGCAGCTCCCAAGAGCTCCCAACCAGGGGGAGGCAACAGCCCACACCTCTTTGGTTCAGTATGTGGCTTTCAACAACTTTAAACCATCCCTCTCCACTTATTCCTCTCCTTACGTGTATGTACATTGTTTCTTCAAAATAGTTTTGCTATAGAACTGCCATAAATGTAAAGGGTTCAGCAGTTCTAGCCAGGGACCTGCTCCCCAAAATCACAACCACAGGGGGAGGAGGACTCTACAGATCAGAACAAGTAGTTCTTTTTGTAAGTAGTTAAAAGAAGATTTATACATATAGTTTCCTTCACTTCACAATCAACTAATTTTAGATAACAGGAAATCAGGAAAACAAGGTAATCCTTCCCTGTTACTTCTTTTGCTTGTAAAAGAAGTAATTTGTGTCACCTCCCAGAATTGCCAGTGACCTACAGACTCTAAGTACTATTTATCCTCTGAAAGGACAGTAAAATGTGAAAAAAAAGCCCTTCCCAAAACAAAAAGCACCCCTTGACCTGACCAAACAAAAAGTAAACAGATTCCAAAATGTATCATCAAATATCAAGACCTGGGTTCTCAGGTCTGACAGAGCTTGGGGTTTTCTCTGTCCTGCTCAGGAAGGGAAGGGAACAGCTCAGACCAAGAAACAGGTCTTTCAGCAAGGAAAAAGAGGTGTTTTATGCACAAACAACTGGCAATCAAGTGAACACAGGGAAGATTCAAACTCATGCTCCAAACCTGTTCCTCCAGAAGCATTTCTCCCAAATGCCTCAGTGCACAGTCCCCTCAGAGGGGTCCCAACAGCTGCTCCTCGTGGCAGGTCGGGAAGGGAGCTCATCTCCCAACACACAGCAAAGCACTGGCAGGAACAGGTAATTACCATGGCTATTAATTTCTAATTCATTTTTATACCACAGAGGGCCTGACAGAGGTTTCCCCAGCCAGGCCCCATATTCCTAACCTAAAGTATTTCAGCAAAACTAAAGTCCCATAGTTTTGCAAGCAGCAAAATAGAAAGTAATAAAGTTGTGGCTAATTGGAGGAGAACTATACATTCGTGAGAGCAGGTACAGTTAGTGCAACACAGCTACTCTGAAAGGAAGGGACCAAACCAATGCAGCAGACATGCAGGGTCTGCCAAGTTATGTTAAAACCATGTTTGCTGGTGATTAAATATGTCTACAGAAGATATATTACCAATCTGAATATATTTTCAAGCAGACCAGAAATACCTCATCTATTGGTTATGGTGTGTTATTTTTTAACTAATTAAATATTGAGAGGGATTTTTACCCCCACCCTTTGCTATAAAAATTGCACTTATTTTCTATTAAACAAAACAAAACAAAAAAAAGAAGATTTCAATTCTATATCCCAGTATATATTCACATGGAAACTGGGTTGTCTTGCTCTAAGCTTGCAGGAGTAGGTGTAGCAGTCCTTGCTCTCCGAGATCCTCAGCACAGAAGGTCCCAGCAGTACAACCCCCTCCTCCCTCTGTGCTCTGGTGACTTCTCCATCGTAGTGCATGGGTAACTGGGTTTATATTTTTTTTTGTAAGAAAACCTGAGCTTCAAAAGTCTTTAAAAGGACCTGGAATCAAATCTGGCCCATTCTGACCCAAAACAGCTCAGTTCTGCCAGGAACTCCATCCTGTCCTCGTTGCACACAGCTCCTCCTGAGACCCCAGGGCTCGGACTGGGGCCAGCCAGGGTCACCCCCTTTCCCTCCAGTCTCTCTTGACCCAGGAGACTTTCCTTGGACACGCTTCCGAGGGCTCCTCCTCCCCTGCCTTTAGCACTGCTGCTCCCGTGGGGCTCTGAAGGGCTCCCTGTGCCAATAAAAAAGTCTCTCTGCAATAAGCATGACTTCTTGGACACTGGTGATGAGCTTCCTCTTGCAAAGTCTTCTCCAGCTCATAAAATGTCATCGTAATCCAATAGTTTCGAGTGCTGGCGGGTCTTCCAGAGGCGGTAAAGGCGGAAGTCAAAGTAAGTCTCGATCATTTGCTTACCTAGAAGTGAAATGGAGCAGAGGGGTCACACCCTGCAGCACGAGGGACACAGGGGAGAGGCCACAGCACCACAAAAACCCCAGGTTTTTTTTGTGGGCAGGGCACAGGAACCCATGCAGACACTTCCCTGGGGGAACACTGGCCCTGGGCACCTGCCCCGGGGCACGTGGAGGTGCCCGTGAGAACCAAACATCTTTGTAGATCTCCTCAACCATGAATGGCTCCTTGTAATCCCCTGGCAGGGTTTGTCCATGGGGGAAGGAACTGAGCACAAAGTCTGTCTCCAGACTTTGACCTCTCTGCTCTGAGTGCTGAGCTGGGGCCAGGGGCTGGGGAGGATCAGCCACAGGGACTTCAGAAACTACAAACCAAGAGTTAACTCATTGTAAAGACTTGTGGGAAACACTAAAAATAATTAACATTGAAAATTCGAACAAAAATATGCCTTTTTTTTTTAAATTACCAGGCCATCTCTGTGCTGCAGGGCTGTCTCTGCTCCCAGCAATGAGCTCACAGGACACACCAGTGCCAGCTCTGAGCCCCTCTGATCAAAGGGGGGTCTCACAGGCACTCACAGAGCAAGGGCAGTGCCCAGGAGGCAGTGGGTGCATTGGAAAATGCAAGGGCAAACAACCCTGCACTCAGACAGGGCTTAAGGAGGGGATTTTCGCTTGTGAGGCCTGATTAGGATTAGTTTTAGATGACTTTGCAAAGGATTAGGAGGGTGCAGTATTACTGTGTCCCAGACTGACCAAGGGGATAAATTCAGCCGTGTTCTTCAGCCCTCCTGGAAGATCAACTGCTCAGTGCCTGCACACAGAGCCCACTGCCTGCCTGCTGAGCTGCCCACAAACCTGGGAATCTCCCTGCAAGCTGCTCTTGGACACATGTCCAAGCATGTTCCCCGTGGGATCTCTGCAGGCAGCGGGTACAGCTGCTCCAGACCTTGGCAGGACACACACACAGAACTGAGAATCTGGTTTAGTACAAAGTGTCCCTGCCCATGGAACTGGATGAGCTTTAAGGTCCCTTCCAACACAAACCAGTCTGGGACTCTGTGATTCCATGAACTCTGTGCAGCACCAAAGTGCTCAACTCCTGCACATTCCTGAGGGAGAGGGGAGTTAAGAATAACCCAGCAGTGCTGAGACCAGCTGGGAGCAGCTGAGGAAGCACCCACAGCCTGATGCTGTGTGGTTTTATTTGCCAAGAGAACAAAGTGCCAAGGAATACAGCAAACACAAAAAACAAGGGCAAATTCAGAATCTGCTGCTTGTAAAACCTCACCAATTACCGACACTGAGCAGAGAACAGGAAAAATCCTGTAGCCCCTTGAAACATCTTGAGCTACAGGCAGAAAGGGGAAAAAAAGCCAAGAGACTGAGCTGTAGAAAGGCTCTGATGGGTCATATCCCAGTTGGTTGTTGATGACACAACTCTTTCAGTGCCAGTGGTTTGAGCCCTGGAGAACCTGGCTACAGAAAAGGTTCTGCTCCATGTGCATTTCTCCCACATATTCCTCATGTCCTAGTATTAATAGATCTCCTACACTCAGCTTGGAAAGCTGCCCACTTTGCACTGCCAGTGGCCTGGGACAGGGCTCTGCAGCCTCAGGCACAGGACAGATGAAGTGTGAACATGGAGGAACTGCGAGGGGAAACCCAGGAAAACACGGTGGTTACAGGCAAAACCAAGACCATGGCAGGACTTAAGGGAGCTCAAAACTGCTTTTTCAGGAAGATGCCCCCCTGAAGGAGGCAGGCTGGTTAGGAGGGTGTGTGTCTTTGTAAAGAAAATAAATTACCTTGAGCTGATAGTTCAAGTGGAGACTCAAAGGCAACCCTATAAGGATTCATTAAGTTTTTCAGATTCTGAAATAGCTGAAAGGAAAATATATCAAAGTTAGCAGCTGAAAACAGGGATGACTCCTGGGGCCCCAGAATTGATCCAGAAGCTCCTACCTTCTCCCCATTGGGGTTTCCAAGAACATAGCAGCCCATGATGTGGATGATATTTGGTTCAGGATTGATTTTACTCATCAGCCGGCTCAACCTCTTCCAGAAGCTGGAAAAAACAGGAAAAAACAGAATACATAATTAAAATATAAAGTATCTCTCCTCATAGGCATGATTTATCCCAAGGATGTGTGCACACACCACTCAGAAGGGTGTTCAGGAAAAGCCATTGGATCTTAGACAGAGCAAGGGCCTGAGGAGCAGGTCCAAGTCATGTGCCTGAGAAGGAGGAGCAGCCCACTGAGCCAAGGAAGCTCCAAGGTGAAGAGAAGGGAGCAAAGTCCACCAGGAGTGCTCTTAGAGTGACAGTTTTACTAAGCATCCCCTCCAGTTTCCTCTCTCCCATTTCTATCAACAACTGCCCTTTCTACTCACCAGTGTTCTCAGTGCACTGGTTCATTTCCAGGGCAGGAAATCAGCAGGGAGCAGCTGGAGAAGTTGTTGTTCTCCACAGCTACAGAGGCAACACAAGACCAGGCTGCTCCATGTCAGCCTGTGCTTGGTGCTGGTCACAGTCAGACCCAGTTTAGGTGTTGTGACTGTGACCAGGAGCCTGGTGGGATGTGAAACACAACCCTGGGCAGAGGGTTGGAGCTGGGGGGGGCTCTAAAGCCCAGCAGTTCCTCCATGGGTTTCCCAACCAGCCTGCAGCCTCAGGTTTCCTCAGGACAGCCTCCCAAGGAACACAAACTGCATGGAGACATTCACTACCAAGCTTCCAAATTTTCAGCTGTGTGTTCACAGCTTTCTGAAGATCCCTGATTTATCAGCTTGGGAGCAGTTATGATGCCTGGAATGTGTTCAGAATCGTGTATGTGCACAAGTGCTCAAAGATTTTACAGCCAGTGTTTGTGCCAGAGCACGGGACTGCTGAGCAGATGTTGATTTTAATACTCAGTTCTCTCGCCAACAAAAAGTTGTGTAGGAACAGGTTGGTGTAACATCCTCTCCCCCACAGCCAAGCACCATTAGCCAAGGAAGTCTGAGCCAGCAAAAGTGAGTAGGCAGCAAAGCAGGCAAAGCTTAACTCTACAAGGAGAAGCAAAATTGCCTCAGCAATCCCAGCTGACAGGCTGGCATGTTAGTGAAAAGCCTCCTCAGTAACAGGCTGGACTTTGAGCAGGCTTTGCAGAGACAAATTCCACTTCCCCCTGACCAGAGACAGCTGTGGGGGAAACATTCTGGATTTCTGCTACTGGTGTCTGCTCAGCAATGCTACTGCAGCCACTGCTGAGCACCAGAGGCTCAAGGGGCATGTTCTAGTTTCTGGTCAGCACAGCCTTTGTTAGGAGAGGAAATACCTTTCTTTTTAATCTTTTGATAGTCTCTAGTCCAGAGAGACACCAAATAGCAGATAGAAGCACAAATCTCCTGGTGACCAGGGCTGCAGCTCTGTCACCTTTGCATCTCCCCCTGAACGAGCTTCAACCTGCTGACAGCCCCTCCTCAGCCTCCTCATCCCCTGAATAACCCACCCCAGCTCCCTTCACCTCTTCTGCTTGGTCATGTGCTGCAAACATTGAGCAAACCCAGCAGGAAAACTCCATGCAAGTCCATGCAGAACACAAGAGAGCCACTCACAGGATCAGATCTTCCTCCTTCTCCACTTTGGCAAAAGTGGCGACTTTGTTCTTTAACAGGTATAAGTGCCCGGGACCTCCCTGCAAGAGAGACACAGACACGTGGAAACCCCTTTGCACAGGCCCCGGGGATAAAAATCCTGGATGCATTTCCTGCCCTGCCCAGCCATTCCCGGAACTGCCACAAGGGAGCAGGGCAGCCCCGCTGGGAACCCTCGGCAGCAGGCACCGGCTCAGGACACATCCACATATGGGGAGTGGGGGGGGTTGGATTCTCCAGTTTTTACTGTTCTGTGCCCACCTTGCTCTAGAAAGGCACAGTAATAGACAAAAATCGTCGGTGTGAGTCACTGGAGAGTAATAGGGAAGACAAGAAAGTCTGTGTCATTTGGGGACAAGGGACATCCCCTGTCACTGGGGGACCTGCCGTGGTGGGCAGAGGAGAGGCTGAGCACAGCAGGGATAAACAGGAAAGGGATGATGGCACTGCAGAGGAACTGGCCTTGGGCAGCAAAAGGCATAAACAGACTGAGCACAACACCAGGAACATTAAAAGCCACAATCTCTAGGTCAGCGTGCAGCAAAGCTGCCATGCTGCAGCACAGGGGACACGGGAGGGAGTTCAAGTCAGGTTCTCTTCATTTCTCATGTCAAGGTTCCCTGCACAGCTGCTGGGGAAGTCCAAAGCTGACCACCCCGAGGAACAGGAGACTTGGGAAGGAAATCCCCAGCAAGCCACAGATCCAGCAGGGCTTGAACCTGTCCAAGCCACAGCTCCAGCCTGTACCCTGACCCCTCTCCTGCCTCCACTGGCCTCCAGCTCCCAGCTGAGCCATCTGCCAGTCTGATCCACAGCTTGCACCACTGTCACTGTCACACTGGAACTGGATGGAAACCATAACCATGACACTGCAAATTCTTGTTCCTGTCTCTGGAATCCCCTTTTGAGGTCTGTGCTGATGCTGGTTTGCCTGGGGTTCCTCGAGAGCAGCTGAGAACCAGCCCAGCTCTTGACCTGGCCACACTAAATCAGGTTTGAGTTCCTGCTGTCACAGCAACTCCAGCCTGCTCAGTGTCTGGGAAATGGGAAGTGAAAGCTGGGCACTGGCAGTTACTTCAATGGAACCTGACTTTGGAATATTGCTTTCTTCATGTCATTCTTCCCTGTAGAAAAAGACAAATTTGTAAGAAATCACCCAAGCACTTAACAACTTTCACATACCTGGCAAAATATCAGCATCTTCCAGATTTTGCAGCCTTTGCGATAAATGTTAAGTTTCTTCTCTATTTCCTCTGCAAAAAAACCCCAAACATGTTGGAAAATATGAACCATGGAGGAGGTTAAAAATCAATTTTATTTCTTTCCACTTCAGTCCTGCAGGCAGGAGGCTGAGCTGGGAGAGCTGCTCAGCACCTACATGCCGGGGATGCTGTGGGAAGCAGGAATCCCAGTGTGTCACAGGGCAGAGGAGGGATGGTGCAGCACCAGGCACTGCTCTGACCATGGCACTGGAGCAGAGCCAGCCCTCCTGACCCTGTTCATGCTCCCACCCACCACACAGGTGCAACGAACAGGTACCTGCTGCCCTGTGCCTCAGTTTCCCTTCCACAAACCAGGAGTTTGGCATCGAAAACGAGCCACAGAAGTGAGGGTTTATTACAGCAGCACATCCAAGAGCAGCTGACTGTCTGTCATGTGTCACTGGGGTGGCAAAAACACCTTTATGAGTGGCAGCTGAGGCACAGGGCAGCTGAGTGACTGACACATTGATGGGCTACATTCACAATGGGCAGGAAGCAAGAAAAGGAAATAACACTTACGTACCTAAGATGTCATCAAAGGTGGCATGTTCATGGTCCTGGAAACCAAGACAGAGGACACACAAAGGTTCACTGTCACTACATCAGCTCCCATGACAGCATTATGGTCTCTAATATTGCACACAATCCCATTCCCAGGCCAACAGATGCTCTAAGAGCAGTTACACCAACTGAAGGCTGGTAGTGACAGCACAGCAATCACCACCCTAAATCACATTTCAGCACAGAAGCTGAAGGCTCAACTGCCCATGAAGACCAAATCCACCCAAAGGCTTGGAGATGAAGGCTGCAGACACATCCAAAGCACAAACTGTCCATCAGGTGCAGTCAGCACCAGCAATACCTATTTGCCTCTTGGCCCACATTTTGCAGCCAGTTTTCCCCACGTCCAAGCTGGCTGACAAACAGCCCAACACAGTGCCTCTGGCACAGCAGGATCATCAGGACAACTGCACAACTCCCCAAGGAAGGGAGGCAGCAAGGCTGAGCCCCCAGCAGCACTGCCTGCTGCACACAGGGCTCTCTGGGCTGTCAGTCCCACCTTCCCTTTCAAATTAAGTGAATAAGTCATTAGGAAAAAGAGACCCATGACTCCTTCCTGCTGTTTCAGACACCTGCTCAGGCCAGATTCCCAGAGAAAAATCAGAGTTAAATTAGTGACTGGCAGGGATGCACCACAGCTCGTGGGGTGATGGGGTTTGTGTTCACTGCTGAGCTCTGAGGTCCTGCTCATCCCAAGGATGAGCATAAGGAGGAGCCCTAAGGCTGACAATGCAGAGCTCTGCCTGTGATCCAACCTGCCCTGCCTTCTCTTGATAATCTCTCCATGCAGCTTGGCTGGGCCTGAAGAGCCCAACAACTCCCATGTGCCATTTTCACTCCACCTTCCTGTTCTGCCCAGACCTGAGCCCCCACAAAGCCACCCCAGACCCCAAAGCTGGGTTCAGCACAGCCCCAGCCCCTCCCTGGCAGCTCTTCCAAATCACACCAGTGCTTTGGAGAGACCATAACAGGAACTATAAAATAAAAAATTCCCAGTATGAAGCCTGTTCCCAGCCACAGCAGAAGGGATTTACTTACATAGAGGATGGGGATGATGGAGGGGTCGTCCCTGCGGATAATGGTTGGGACATACTCTGCTTTGGGCACCTTGGAAGAAATGAGCTGGAAGAGATAAAAAAAAGGTGCAATAGCATGAGGAGAAGGTAGTACAGTGTGGACAGAAGCACATAATCCATGCTAACAGTGCCCTGGCAGCTAATCCAGCCTCTCTGCATCCCTGTGGAAGGTATTCCAGCCTTTGTTCCACCACAGAGCATCCCAGGCCTGCCAAGTACCCCCTGTGTCACCATCTCCTGGACCCCAACATGGGAGCACACAGCCCTGCCTCACAGGCAGCAGAGAGAACAGTTTGGGAAGGGGAGGCTGGTGTGCACAGAGGATGTGTCACCAGGAATGGCTGTATCCCCAGGAATGGCTGTATCCCAGTAAGGATCCCTCCTGTACAGCCTCCCTTCTGGCTGTAGAGAGTGCAGGGAGTGTTCAAAAGGCAGGAGTGGCTGGCTGCTGGTGGGACACTGCATCAGGCTCAGGGTCACAGGCATCAGGAAGGTGTCTGGCAACTCTGGCTGAAGGTTCAGGTGGCTCCAGCAGCACCAGAGCCCCAACTGAGCTGTGATTCCAGGCACCTCCATTCATCCCCGGGAGAGCAGAGCAGGCAGTGCTGCTGGTGGACTGGGAAGTGCAGCCTGGCTTCCAGCTGGGGCTGGTGCCAAAGCCCCCCATCCCAGTAGGCAGCACATCTGTGCTCCAGCCACATGGAGTTAATGGGACACTTCTGAAGCAGCACAGGTTATATATATACATATTATATATATACACACTCCATATATATATATATCCAGGGATGGACAACCACCACACACACAGCCCAGGGTGACAGTGTGTCAAGGGTGGGCCAAGTCTGCAGACAGCCTGGGAACACACACAGTCTCCATGTCCTTCACTCTTCCCAGATCTTAGCAGGACCCATTCAAACCCAGCACTGCTGTGCTGGACTGGCAGTGCTGCCCTGAAAACAGGCTGGAAGCCTCAGACCCCAATTTTGCCTCGTGCATGTGGCCAAGGAAGGAATGTGTGAGAACCTGGCCCTGTCTGCCAAACCCCACAGAGCAGAGCAGAGGAGCACAGGGGGAAGGCTGGAAGCAAGGAATAGCAAGAGAGAGAAACCATCCCAAGGAATGACATGCAGCTTCAAAGTAAATCAGGCAAGTAACAACAGGAGAGAGGGACTGCTGGGACTGGGGACTCAGGTCTCCATTTTCAGGGTTAAACAGACTTAGGCTGACTTGACTCTGTGTTGGTGTCAGTCCTGCTCTGATTTGGATTACAGGTCCTTCCTTCTAGTTTTCTGTCAACACATTAACCCCAGCAATAACAGCTCTGAACACCGTGTCATGTCTTGGCTGATCTCTGGGTGACCCTCACACACACCTGAGGCATTGCCTACATAACAGACTTGCCTCTTCCCATGGAGACCCTAAACTTAGCTCTGAAAGGACAGACAGAGCCTGAGTAGATACAGGCAGCTGAGCTGGAAACCCTCACCATTATTTTTGGTGGAATAAAGTCTTCTCCGTCACATGCCATGGCTTCAAGTTCCTTTTCTGCTTCCCAGTTCAAGTCGAAGTCACCCTCCAGAGTGCCGCAGGAATCCTGAAGGTCATGGCCTGCCAGGACACAGGGAGCATTACCAGGGCAGAACAGCCTTCCCCATCCATCCTGGCAGCTTCCTCGCAGGAGGCTCCACAAGCCACCAGAGTTGTGCCCTCCTGCCTTCCCCAGAGTGACAGACACCACACTTTGGGGCTGGTGTCTCCAAACAGACAGACACGGAACGGATGGAGAGTGCACGAAGAGCTCCACACCACATATCACAGAGCTTCATCACCCTCACAGTCACCAGGCTCAGCTTTCACAACAGTCACCCCGTCATTCCAGAAATGGAGAAGGAGACAGAACACAGACAGGCTCTCTACACTTCAGCATTGCCAAGCTGATAAGCAAAAGTTCAAAGACTTCAAAGCTGGTCTCCTTGTAGTAATTACTGCTCTGACTACATCTTTTGAGGGATTGTAAAGCAAATCTGCCTTGTTGGTCAGACTGATCCTGGCAGAGAATTCTTAGAGCGTGCGTGAGGACAGCTGCAGCAAACACAGTCATAGTGCAACAGTGGACTTGAATTTGCTCTCCAAATTGACCTTACCTGTTGGCCTTCAATGCCTCCTGGGGAAAAAAACATCTGGAAGGAATATAATTGACCATTAAAGGTTAAAAATAGAGATGGTTCCTGGACTGAGGAAAGAGAACTGAGATGCCTTTCTTTGTGCCTGTCGGGATGTCCGAGTGTCGCTGGGCAGTGCCTGGAGCCTGTCTGAACCATGGCTTTTCCATGTGTCTCTGGTTAGCTGAGGGAGCAGGGAGGGATCAGACTGCCAAGCAGCAAGCAGGTCACGTTTTGAACTTGGCCTGCCTTTCACACACCTCCCCCTACAGCTAGCAGGGCCAGATCTCATGCTTACCTGGTAGGTCAGGTCATTTCATTAGTGAAATCCATTTCAATGTGGGCAAACTCATAACCACCGAGTTCCTGCCTACAGGCTTTCAATAAAATCTTTGTAAAACAGCCATTCCCTCTATAAGAATACAGTGGGAAGATGCTGGCATTTCCTCCTGTAAATTAGCACAACAGCATCTCAGTCCCCACAAGCAGAACGTGGCAGCACTACTGGGGATTCCCAGAGGAATTCCTGGCAGCCCAAATGAAGATCATCACCTATCAAGCCTGACCTGTGCAGGCAGCACGGCCAGGAAATCAAAGCTCCATCTCACAGAGCACTTCAGTTGTGTTCTGGAGCTATTCCAGACTAGAGAAGAGCTCAGAAGGGGCTCCTGCATGGGAAGCCAAGTCAGCCCCACTCTGGTGAAGGTAGGCGTGGACTGGAGAGCTTCCAGGTGGGTTGTTTGGGTCCCAAGGAAATAAGGGATGATGGGAACAGAGGGCTGTAAGAGAGCTGTACCACTACTATCCTTTGGCAACTGCTTAATACCCTGAGGTTAGCTGGGTTGTGCTCTACAAACGAATAGAGGGACACACAGATGAACAGGTACATACACCTGGAGCGTTACGTGCTCCGATCTCAGGAAACTAAAAGGATCACAGACAGGACAGAAGGGCACAGAGGAGTTACTCCAGTGGGACTCCAGTCAACACCTCCACTGGAGGGTTTGCCCACAGGAGGAAGGACTCAGAACTCACTTTCTCGAGAGTCATGGAAGGAATCAGCTTTGATGGGAGTCGGGTCACTCCAGGACCTGCTGAAGCTCCTCTCACGCCGTTCGGCAAAGGCTAGGATAAAACCAGAGCAGGACATTAACAGATCCCAAAGCCACCTCTGCTGCTGCCACCAAACAAAACAGCCAGTAGATTTCCACCAAAGCCACACATCACAGACTCCCCTGGGCTTGTCCTTCCACTTGCCAAACGTGAGTCCTTTCCACACAGCAAACACGGGTCTCTCTTCTACACAACCCAGACAAAGTGCCCTGCAGAGGACAGGGTGGGTAACACAGAAAGTGGATGACACTTGATGGTCTCTCCTTAAATAGCACACAGCTCAAACCTCAATTTAACAAAGCTATTCCGGTGTCCCAGTGTAAATGCTTGGACTCAAAGGCCTCCCAGGAAGATGCACTGCACAGCTAATGACCTCTGTGACCAGAAGAAGGCAGTAGTTCTCCAGGCAGTTCTCCCTTCATGTTCTTCATCCCTTCATCCCAATCCGAGCTGGACCAAACAGCAGGACAGGAATGTCTCTGGAAATCTCATGCTTTCTAACTTCCATTGCAAAAGAGGAAATCCTTCAGCCTTTGCTTGCCTGCACTCTTGTGAGCACTACCTCTGGTTTGTTTTCTTTTCCCAAGGAGTATTGTATTGTTTGTGCTGGCATTTCCCAATCGGAATCCAGGGAGCTTGGCCCAGCTGGCTGCACCACAGGCAAATTCCTGGGAAGTGCCAACCACCATGTCTGACTTGGCAAGCCCATGTGAGAGCCATTATGCCGAGATTAACAGGCACTTACAGCCACTAATATCTATTTCTGGTGGCAGACAGGGAGTTTGCAGCAGGGTATGAAGTAACAGCAGCACAGGAATCCACTGCAGGTCTGTATCACAAGAGCTGAGAAGCAACCTGTCCCCTCCTGCAGTGTGTCCAGGGTGGGTGTGACCTGTCCCCTCCTGCAGTGTGTCCATGGTGGGTGTGACCTGTCCCCTCCTGCAGTGTGTCCAGGGTGGGTGTCCAGGGAGAGAAATCACATCTTCAGTTCTTCAGGTGATCTCCATCCTCAGTTTGCATTTAAACCAGGCACTGAGGTATTGTGCACACAAAGAAAGCTTTGAAAACACGACCCCAGAGTTCCAGAGGCAGAGACATGCCCGAGCTTCCCCACAGTTGTGGGGGAGGTGAGCCCTGGCCACGTCAGGCAGTGCTAACTCAGATGCCAACAAAGACTCTGGAAAGGGCAAAGCTCTTTGCTGATCACTTCCCACAGCATATGAGAGAGGAAAGAATGCAAACTGAACGCAGCAGTGCTTTGCTGTGGGCAGTCTGTACACGATGCCTGGCCAGGGGGTGGGAAGAACAAGCTGTTTTCCATTCTGGAGCAATCCTCAGCTCTCAGGAGCAGGTTACACCACTCTCAGCCCACTTCACAGCGACAAGGGTGCTGCCCCAACCAAGTTATGAAGGAGTGTTGCCTTCTGCAGAGAAAGGGAACTGCCATTTCCCAGGCCTAAGAGGGGATTTCTTCCCCTGTGAGGCATAACACTCCCTTATTTCCCCCTTGCTCCAGTCTCTTCCCTGTTTTTCTTCTTCCTCCCTTCCATCATCCTCTTAGCTCCCAGCAGGCAACTTTCCCCAGGTCCTGCTGTGGAGATGGCAGTGGGAGAAGGAGACAGCCAGCAGCCTGCATGGCACAGGGAGCACTGAGCACCCCAGGAGGCACAGCTGGTCCCAGCTGCAGGGGAGGCCGGGCAGGGCTTCCAGCTCTGCTCAACTCCCAGCTCGGGTTCTCCTCACAAGCCTCCACCAAAACCCACACACAGGGCAAGGATGATGCAGCTTTCCTTCCATTCCTTGCACCAAAGATCATCAACAGCCAAGGCAGAGGGTCCTTGGAAGTAACTTTCAGGCTGCTTGGAGACATCCACGTGTCCCAGAGACTTGCAGCAACCTGGCCTTCATTTTTGCAGGATAAATGGCACCAGCAGGTCAAATCCTCTCTCCAGCCCAGTGCCAGGTCCTTTCCACCCAGAGCTGCACGTGACAGAGCTCCCCATGTCCCTCCAGCACAAACCCCAGCTCCTCACAGCCACAGCCCACAGGTGCTCACTTACTTTGTGCTTTAACCCTTCGGCTCCCCACCATGCGGAGGTGCTTCCGAAAATTCCTGAAAGAAAGGCCAAACACAACCTTTGAGGAAGGTGACACAAAGCAACACCTGGGCCCAGCAGGACTGAAAAAACGGGAGGAACAAAACCAAAATGGGGATGATGGCGTACTTCCTTCTGGGCTTTCAGAACCTGGAGATCAGGTCCCCAGCCTGCACCAACCCAGTGCTGGGGACTATTCTGAGCTCCCTGGCACGGGGCAAGGGGGGTCCTACGTGGCACCCCCTGCACTCAGCCCACTCTCCCTTTCCTGTGACTGAGGCACAGCTGTGCTGTACCTTGCTGAGCGCACCCAATGCCCATGCTGGGAATGTTCCCTCTTTTCCTAGTAAAGAGCAGTGCCTGCTCCCCTCTATCCTGCTTCAGCAGGAGTGTGAGGTGCCCAGGTTCTGCACACACCATGCTTGTGGCTGTGCTCCTCCCCAAACACTGCAGCTGCTAAGATCTCACCCCTGCTGTTGGGAACCATGCTGGGAAGGCTGGAGCAGGCTGTCCCTCCTTAAACAGCAGCACTGAGCAATGCTGGCTGTCCCCAGGGACCTGCTCTCTGCTGCAGCTGCCACCCCCACTGCCCTGCCCAGGACTCACAGGCAGGGCCAGAGGGGCTGCAGAGCACACAGCTCCAGGGAAAACCCATAGAGGGTAATCCCTGGGGAGCAGCTACACCCCACAGTCAGGTCTGTGTAAAACAGTGTCCTGGCCACGCCTGAGAGGCCGTGGCAAAGGGATTCTTTGTCCAGCCCCTCCGAGAACAAGGGACCTGTTTCCTTTAGTTTCTCATCACTCACCAAGGCAGGAACAGGACAGGAATCAAACAGGACAGCAGAAGAGACAGAGGGAGGAGCAGCATGTGGACTATCAAGAGAAGTGTCACTCCTCCATGAACCCTACTTAGTCAGGGTGACTTCACCCCACAGTGCAGCCCCAGGATGTCAGGGAACCTACATGGAGTGAGGGAGCCTTCCTGGATTCCCTTCTGCCCCCCAACACACACCACAGACACCAAGCAACAGAGACTACAGCTGGTGAAAGGGGTCAATGCCAAGTTGTCTGGCTCACACGCAGGTTAGTGGGGTGAGTAGGGACATGTTACAACCATGCAGATGCTTTAGCACTGGACCAGGAGACACTTCCAGCACCAATGTGAAGTTGTTCAGAGAAATTTGGATACCTCTGCTCCTGTACAGGGAGATCCACACAAACACAGTCCTTGTGGGAGAGCACTTAACCCACATCACCCTCTGCACTTCCCCACTTAGGCCCCGGATCCCTTGTTGTCATCAGGATCCAAATTCAGCAGCTCAAGAAGGAAAACTAGCAGCTGGAAGCAACATGATTTCATGCCAAATTTCCATCTGCTCTTGGGCTATTAATGTTTTCCAAAGATTTATTATATCTGTAATTGAGTACATGAAGAGTCACTGCTGTGGATCAGAAAACTACCCCTTTAGACACATCTACTGACACATCTGAGCTGGCTCAACACACAAAGCCTTCTGGGGTGCACCATGACTGATAGTGGGGTCTGTCCTACTGTGCATTAGATTCAAATCCAAATAAATACAACATTTTAAAGGAAGCAGGGCTGTGCTTTACACAAAGAAAAAGTCTTAGATATATGTTATAACTCATCAGAATGAAAATCTTTGTGGTCCACTGTGAGCCCAAGACCAAACCAGACACTGAGCACCAATGTTAACTGCCAAGGCCACTGTTACATCCTTTAGGCTTTTGGTATTTTGGAGTAAAATCCCCTTTTTTGTTAAACGCTCAGTTGTCCTCTCCACAGAGGAGATTCTTCAGACCCTGAGGGCAGAGGGGTAAAGCAGTGTTTGCCACAGAAGAACGCTGCTCCCAGCTGCCTAGACAGCTTGGGCTCTCCCATGAGAGACCTAAATACTGCTCAGAGCAGCTCCAGGGAGAGTCCAGCTGCTCAGGGTTAACCACCACACTAAACACTCAGAGAATGGGATGAAGAACTTTTGCTCCTTCTCATCTCTTCTAGAAAAAACAGCACTTTGGAAAGGAGGTGCAAGCCTGGGACTTACTCCTAATGTGGGCATCCTGTGGGCATCCAGATCCTTCTGAGGGCTTTTTGCAGCTGTCTGGGTCCTCAGACCCCTCTGTACGTGCATGTCAGCATGGCAGGACTGGCTCTGGGGAAGGTGCAACCTGCTCTGTGAGCAGTGGGGCTCCATAAACCTGCCCAGCCTTCCTGCCTGGCTCCTGCAACTGCACCAAAACCCCCTGTGTCACTTGATCACTTGCAAGATCTCTTCACCCATCACAACACAACCAGCAATCCTCAAGTTTCAGTGACAAAATCTCCTTGTTACTCCCTTTTCTGACCAGTGCTCCTCCTGACAGGCTCCAGTTTGCCTGACGGGCACGACCCCATGGCACCTCCAGGGTCTCCATCCCAGGTATCCCTCCAGGGTCTCCATCCCAGCCAGAGGGCCTCCAAAACACCACAGCCTCACTCCACACCCTGCAGCTCTGCCCACAGTGGGTCACCACACTGTGCAGAGAAGCCTTTTCTCTACCCACCCTCCTGGCAGCAGCTCTCCCGTTCCCCTCCCTGGCTGCTCCTGCAGCAGGCACACGGTTCACTCTGGGCATCCCTGAGTCCCAAGGCAGCATCCCTGGGTGCCATGCCATGCACTCCAGCCTCCCTGGGCACCAGAGCCTTCCCTGTGTGCTAGGTCACACAAAACAGCCTCCCAGGGTCAAGGACTGAAGGGGCTGGGCAACAACAACTGAACCCCAAAACCCCCGAGGCCATGACAGGCTGCACAACAAGCACCCAGAAGGGAGGTGGGGCTGGGGTCTGCCTCACTCCCTGGAGAAGGGAGCTGAACACTGCCAGCAGTCCTTGTAACTGGGCAGGGTCTGCTTCCACATGGCCCAGCCAACATCCCATCACTGCTGTCCTCCCTCCTCTTTGGGACATGATAAACACAGATGTGCTCCTGCTGTGCAGCCCTGCCTGGACCTTCAGTCCAGGAGGTGAAGGGACATCCTGGCCACCCAACACAAGGATGAGGTGACTCCATCCTCTCCCCTCACCACACAGCACCACCAAGGCACACAGCTCCTGCTCCTGTACTCACAGCCCACATGAACAAGCCACTTCCTCACCAAGACTTGCCTCTGTCTTCCAGATTCTGAGAAATCTCCCTCTTTTTAAAGATCCACTGTCTATTTGTTGAGAGCATCTTTAGTACTGATTTTTATTTCTCTTCATTCTTCTTTTAAAAAAAACACACCACCCTTCAGCTGCTAAAAAAAAAGTCTGCCTGGCAATTTCCCAGATAAAAAAACCTGATGTTTTTCTCCCACTTGGTTTTGAGCAGTGAAGTCATCGTGGCAGTTTTTAAGCAATGACACAAACACTGTGTTACCCTTTTTAGTAGGCTGCCAAAATACACGAGCCTTGGCACATTTAAAAAAACAAACCAGTTCTGATTCCCACTGTGGGTAAGTGATGTGCCATAGGAGGCCTGCAGAGGGAAATCAGGCCTTTGTGTAATACATGGAAAAGGAATCAGTCCCCATCCCCCTTTTTTCCCTATTATTGGAAAAAAAAAAGACTAAAAAACAGGCTTCTTGTCACTAGAGATGTTAATTTTGCCTAAGTCTCAGATTTTTGAGGTGCATTTGTAGATGCAGCAGCAGCACATAAAAGTATTCAGCTAACCTCAACCAAATCCTGCCCATGGCAGAGGAGTTGGAAGTAGATGATGTTTAAGGTCCCTTCCAACCCAAACCATTGTATAATGACATAAAATTCCAAGTATTTGGGAGAAGGCTGGGAAATGCACCTTTAATTTTTTAAATTTTTCTGCCTGAGACACGAATCACATATATTATATTTGGAATGTTATAAGAAACTTGACAGTGTTCTTTAAGAAGATGAGATCAGCTCTTCACCTCCACAGTTCCTACACGGCCACTGCCAGTGTCCCTATGGACAGCACACAGACAGGGACACAGCCAATGCCATCAGGGTTCACTGCTGACACCCAAAGGGCCCATGCAACACCAGGCAGGGTCACAGCTCCGGGAGGGAAGGGGCCCTACCTCTGGATAAGAGCTGCGGAATCATTCTCCCGTTTCCGTCTCTTCCTCTCTGCGTAGCCCCTGAACGCCCTGGGAAACCATTTCAAGCCATTAACCAACTCCACAGCTTTGAACTGCAGAGGACACGGAACACAGACAGGAAAGCTCTCAGCAGACAACAGAGACTGTGCTGCCCAGGGATGGACAGCCCTGAGTGCGGGGCAGGGCCAGGCAGAACTCACCAAACCACAGCTCCTCACTCCCCAGGGCAGGGGCTGGACAAGCAAAGATCAGAGCATGGCCCAAAGACCAGGGCTGAGCAGCCCCATCCCTGCTACAGAGAATGGACCTGGGAGCTGCAGACACAGCCCCTCTGCACACCAGGACTGAGAAGAATAAAAGTGTGCCAACAACTGGGGTCTGCACCTCGAAGATGGGGACGGTTGCGGTGTGATCCATGTAGGCCTACAGGTGTAGCCACCTAACCTCCTGCCAGCTGAGACAGCCCCTGGCACAGGGAAAGCATGAGTGGATATGATGGACAGGAGAGGAGAGGAAAGGAGAGTTTATCCAGGACACCAACAGACAAGGAAATAAAAACTGAAGATTATACTTACGAGATGCTACAGATTCCAGGAGACGCGGGGAAAAAGAAAGAGAAGAGGAATTCGTTAGTGCTCAGCCCCAGCCAGTGTTCTGAGGGAATTCTCACTCCAGAAGGAATACTTCTTGTTAGGTGGAAGGAAATTGCTTTTGAAATTAAACATTTCTCAGTGGTGAGAACTCCAACTTGACAGAGCTTTATCCTCCCTGGGGCAGCGCTGACATGTGGCCTGGATGCCAAGTGAGCTCCACGCAGACCCAGGGAAAATGCAGATGTACAAGAGCTGGATGTGGCCCATCAGGGTGCACCTCCACAGGCTTCTGGAGCAGGGACAGCACTGGAGCAGAGCCCAGGGATACCTGGGGAGCCACCCCAACACCTCAGGGAGATGCCCTGAACTTCTGGAGATGTTTCTGTGCAGTTTCTGGAGGCAGCACAGAACCTCCAGAAATGGTAACCAAGGGGGTTGTGCTCCTCAAGGGTTTCCTTAGGACACCGTTCCCCAAATCTTTGGCCTTCAAGCCCTGTAAGCCCTGCCATGGGCCATCATCCTGCAACAAATCTTCTGCCCAGCAAATTTGCATTCAGAGAGCAAAGGATGTGCCCAAAGGTAATGTGCTGGTTTTGTGCATGGTTTGTGGGTCAGATCAGAACAGTAAAACACCATTAACTGTTCCCAGCCAACATTTTTAAAGAGTTTTTTTCTGGGAAATGGAGCTACTCTGCCCCTCAGTGTTGGATCCATCCCTCCCTGCAGCAATCCTTACAGGTCTGATCCAGTCTGAGTTATCCCAAGATCAAAAATCAGCCCCTTTTCAGGATTTGAGAAGGGAAAAGTATGAGGGAAAGAAGAAATATGGGAGAAACAGATTACAAAAAGGACACCAGATTAGACAAAAAGAAAACAGGGAGAGCAGGAGAGCTGAGGGAGTCCCAGACATTGGAAGAAGCACACAGGGGAAAAAGTGACAAGGCTGGAGAAGGGCCTTGGAAGGCAGGACATTGTCTCATTTTCCTCACTGCTTGCCTTGGCTTTCCAGTCAGGTAGGAAATAACTGAAGCCAGGAAGACAAAACGTCCTGAAAAGTTGGGTACAACCTGGAAATGAGGCTTTCCTTGCTCCCTTCAGCCTTTTGAGAACTGTCTCCTCCCAATGCAAAACAACCAGGGGCGCCAAATCCTGCATGGAGTGTGGAGGGACAGGCTCTTCCAACTCACATCCCATCATACTTTGCAGGGATTTTAGTGATAACTTCTTCATATGACCAGACCAGTGCAGAACTGCAGGGCTACATCTTATCCCATAGAAAGGGGATGTCTCTGGAATGAGCGATGCAGGGAAAACCTGGAATAACCTTCCCTCGGGAAGTGGGCGCAGCAGAAGGAAGTGGTGGAGGGTCTCAGCTGGTGCTCCCAGAGGACCCTCCCTCTGCATGGCAGCCAGGGCCAGGGCAGTGTCACAGACAAAACAAGGGAAGCACAGAGAACTGAGTAGCCCAAGGAGTTAAAGAAGGTAAAACCAAATAAATGAGAACAATAGGAAAAAACTAATCAGTGGAACAAAAATTAATAAGAGACAAGTTTCTCTCTCTCTCACCCCTGGACTGTGATGCCAAACACACAACTCGAGGCTCTCAGGCACAGCTCTGAGCAGGCTGTGGGCTCTGAGATCCACACAAAAGCCACGGCAGGGGTTTCACTTACGCTTGCATAGTTGTAGTGGCGGTGTGAAAACTGAAGAGGTTCTCCTTTGGGAACCAGGTTCGTATGGGGACATCATCTGGAAGAGACAGAGAGCAAAGCCTGAGCATCCAGAGGGCACAGACGTCCTTCAGACTGTCAGACCTCCCAAGCTCTTTCTCTTACGACTTTTTTTTCAGCATCCTGCCCTGTACTGAGCAGGAGTCTCATCCTCCTCATATATATGCACACTGCCACCCAGTGCTCTGTAAATTGGTGCTAAGCCTGTCTATCAGGCTACTAAATGAAGAATAAAAGCTCTATCCTAAGCACAGAAGATTAGAGTAATCCAGGAATTACAGAAGTGACATTTGAACTGGGAAAAAAAAAACCAACAGTGGAAAGAAACATTTTTCATTAAAAGCATTTTCCAGTCTCTGCTTTTTCCTTTATACCGTTAATTTGAAATGTCCCATTCCTCCAGTTCTTTCTGATATAGCCTCTGGTAGAAGCCTCTCCTGAGAACTGTGAGCCTGAGATGTCTTTTGGTGCCACTGAAGTTTCAATAAACCCTTCACACACCTGCTCCTGGTGACCTTGCCCTCAGGAGTTCATCTGGTTTGGAAGTCAAGCTGCCCATCAGCTATAAATCCGCAGGTAACTGGGCTGACTTGGTCACCTCTGTTTGTAAACTGCCCTGCCAAAACCAACTGTGGATTATTTCCTAATTCCAGGGCACCAGGACACTGCACCATCTTCACAGAATGATCACTAAGACCAAAAGCAGGCAGTAAAATAAGTCACTAATTACATGTGTGGGATGCTGGTGCCCAGGAGGAGGAACCTGTCCCTGAGAACTCTCAGCCTGGAGTCAGACAGGAGGAAAGTCAGAGGGGGATTGAAATGCACTGACACAAGACTTGAGAGATCTCAGTGGACTGGATTCCTGGGATTTGGGGCTACCTGATTTTTCATCTTGCTTCACTCCCAGTTTTGTGGCTTCCTTGCCCAATGCCTTGCCACATGTTGGTGTTGCTTCAGGCATTCAAGTTTTCAGATCATTTGCAACTGTGGCATCTTAGCCATTAATATTCTGGCATTGTCAAGGTGTTTTTTAGCTCACTTTCATCAGCTCAGACCCAGTCAAACCTCACATGTCCACTGCAGACATAATTCCTACAGACCAGCTATCTTACCAAATGTCTTGTACAGATCATCATATATTACAGACTGACCCTGCTACTCCCTGAAAGTACAAAAAGTGGCTGCAGTCACAGATGCAAAAACTGCTAACTGCAACTGGGGAGAGTTCCTTTGAAGTGAAGCTTCCCAGAAATCTATAGAAAGCCGTACCAAACACTCCTTCTCAGCTAAGAGTTTACATCAAGTCCTGTTTAAAGGCACCCTAAGGAAATATATATATTAAATGAAAGCTGCATTCCAGTATGGTAAAGACTTGTGATGCAGTCCCTAAGTCTGCTCTCCTCCAAAACACAGAGAAGCAATGCAGAACAACTCAGACTGTAAAGGAATTACTTGTTTGAAGTCTCAAACCCACAGAAGTGGTGAAGGAGAAGTTGTACAAATTCCTTTTTAGCCAACAATTCTGTACAGACTTCTCAGGGGCTACACATCTCAAAGAACTGACATCTCTTGATGTATTTTACAGCTTTTAAGCCACTAGCTTTGGTTCAAAGCAAAGCTTATGAACAACAGCTAATTTCCTTAGGAGCCTTTGCCTGGACCATCCCTGGGAGACTTCCCCTCCTTTTCTCCCAGACAGGAGTCAATATAGGAAGGATATCCCTGTCCTACACACAGCACTCAATGGAGAATTAAGGATTTGGGACCCTTCAGAGGTGTCTCTTTACCAGCCAGAGGTAGAACAGCAGCAGAGGAGCACACAGGTGGGGACTAGGCAGCACAGCTCAGCTCCAGAGCTCACCCACTGAATTAAAATTCAGACTATGGGTATGGCTGTTGCTGCCAGGAGTTTGCAGGCAGCAAACTCCTTTTTGGCCAGGCAGAGCAGCTTGTTCTCCTTTCATGTTGCATCAACTGTGATTACACAGTTGAGGGGCCATGGGCTTGGTGAGACTGGAGGAACACCAGCACCACAATCAGCATCTCCAGCCACTGCACCCAAATCCTAGCACCACTGTCCACGGTGGATGTGGATCCATGAGTGGATGTGTCTGTGAGAGATGCTGGGAGCAGCCCAGAAGATGACAGCTTGTGCTTCCCTGGAATGGTGTAAACTCAGCATCAAAATCCACACTAAATGATGCCAGTCAGGCCTGGCTGCCATGAGTGTTGGTTGGCAGCAGCATGTCACGTAAATCCAAACAGAGCAGCAGCACTGCAGGGTGAACCTCTGGGGAAATCAGCCTCTCCCCCATCTCCCCTCTTCTCTGCTCCCTTTTCCTGCTAGCCAGGCATGAAGGACATGCCAGGGAATTCTTCTTGCAGCCTGTGCCACTCGTGCTGCTCAGTTCTCTGGTTCTCTCTGAGGGACAACACTTGGGTACAGAGCGCAAATGAGACCAAGCTGAGGAAAATTTCCTTCCACGATGCCAGAGCTGTGATGGGATTTGGAGACACAGCCCTGCCTGTGCAGCCACACGTGCCACAACTCAGGGGCTTGAGAGAATCACCAAGGGGAGCTGCTGCCTGTTTGTATGAAACACAAACTACTCATGGAGGCATCCACTGGCCCACTTTGTTCCCATTTAAGTAACTGCTCTTGATATGTATTCAGAAAGACAGATCTCCATTTCACGTTGGTAACTGGCCCCAGCAAAAACTGCTGCCTAGTTAAAAACAGATACTAAACTCCAAGGCCCAGAAACAGAACGTGGCATCTCCCTGCAGGATTTGCCAGGACACATTTTCCAGCAAACTCAGCAGTTTAGGTCCAGCTATGAGGAGTTAAACCCCTCCATTAGTGATGTGGAGCTTTCCTTTGGTTCTGCATCAAGTAACCTGCTTCAGTCCCACAGTGCACAGTGCAATTTTGATTTGTTCAGATGTGCTAGTTTGGGATGGGATGAAGTTAATTTTCCTCACAGTAGGTGGTATGGGGCTGTGCTTTGGATTTGTACTGAAATTTGTACTGAAATCCAGCCAGGCTGGACGGGGCTTGGAGCAACCTGGGCTGGTGGAAGGTGTCCCTGCCCACGGCAGGGTTGGAATGAGATGAGCTTTAAGGTCCCTTCCAACCCAAACCATTCCCTGATTCTCTGAAAACAGTGCTGATAATACTGGGATGTTTTGTTATCACTGAGCATCCCTGCCCATGGGGAATGGGGAATTAATTCCTTATTTTGCTTCATTTGCTTTACCTAAACTGTCTTTATCTCAGCCCACAAGTTTTCTCACCTTCACCCTTCCCCACCCCACCGGGGCAGTGACTGAGCAGCTGCTGAGGCCAGAGTTAAACCACGACATCAGGAGAGCTTTCAACACAAACCCACCAGCACTAGGCCAGGAAATCTTCCTTTTCTTACTTCAGTACACATCATGAGGCTGCAACCAAGCCAACTCAGCACCCTGACCTCCAGGAGACCAAGTCCCTGGGGTTGGGATCTACTTTCCTGAAAATACTTTCTTTTCCTGACCTCAGACAAGCTTTCTGGCTCTGTCACCACATGCAGAGCCATCTTTTTAACAAGGAAAACACATATGATCATAAAACCCTAAAAGGTTTCCACACAGAAAAACTCTTATCATTCCTTTTCTTGCACTTTAGCAATAAAAATAATAAAGTCTAAACTTGCACATGCAGTGTCTGATGTGAAGCCCAAAATATCCCAGGGAACAGAGGGAATAATGCTTAAAAACCATGTACAGGATTCCATGGGACTGTAGTTGTTCTGCACATTTGATAATCACCTATTTTTTCACTACTATTCTTCAGTTTTAGGCCATATATTAATTTAGTTACATAATTTCAAGGATCTAAGCATGAAAGTATGGTCCAGAACCCAAACTTTGGTGATCACTATGTTATTTACTAGGAAACTATGAACACAGGAAAGCTGGACAGTTTGATCTCCACAGTCCTTATACTCGATTTCTTCTCCAGGAGAAAACCTGGACCTTTCCTGGCTTGACCCTCTGCTCTAAAAGCCTGGATGTGTGTTTACAGAAAAAATCAGACAAATTAGGTCAGACTCTTTGCCAGCCACATACAGGCAAAGATGGACTGTGCACTAGTTTATAATTCAAAGCACACAGACTGTGACATATATTTGATTAAAGGCTCAGTTTTTAAAGACAGCCAGGGATTTCTTTAATGTAATTGAATAATTACAAGCCCTATTCCCTGAGAACACTGAGCAAATGGATAGTGAGCAGGGAAGAAAGTTCAATACTGTGCTATTTGCTGAATTTATGGGAAGCCCATGAGGTGGCAGTACACGGGTTACCCTGTTAAAATGCTTCCAGCCACACAGATGAGCATTCTGGGGGACCCACCAAAGTGCAGAACACTGTAACCTGAGCTGAGGGTCCTACAGAGCACTGTGGCACATTCACAAAGATTTCCCCTGCCCCACATGAGGCAGAGAGAGTCCTGCTCTGGGGATGAGCAGGGATGAAGGTACTCAGACACAGCCCCTCCTCTCTTGCTCTTCCTTCCACAGAAGGAGAGCCCACAGAGCTCACCCTCACTGAGCTGCACAAAGGTGTCATGAAAACCACCCAGGTCAGCTGCTGCTCACCAGCTGGAAGGAGAGACAACAGAGCTTGGACAGCTGGCCCCTAGCTGAGCTCAGCTTATTTCAGACTCCTTCTTTGAAAATCCCTTTCCAGGAATGCTGGTGCAGGGCCTTGATTTGAAGCCGTGTGAGGACACTGAGGGCACTTGGGGTGTTCAGGTGGAGAAGAGGAGACTGAGGGCAGAGCTCAGGGCAGTTCCAGCTTCCTGGGGAGGGGCAGAGGAGGGGCAGGCACTGAGCTCTGCTCTGGGGGGACCAGGGACAGCACCCAGGGAATGGCTGGAGCTGTGCCAGAGCAGGGTCAGGTTGGATCTCAGCAAAAGGTTCTTCCCCCAGAGGGTGGTTGGGCACTGACCAGGCTCCCCAGGGCAGTGGGCACAGCCCCAAGGCTGCCAGAGCTCCAGGAGAGTTTGGATGATCCTCTGGGGCACAGGGTGTGACCCTTGGGGATGGGCCTGTGCAGGGCTGAGGGTTGGACTCGATGATCCTTGTGGGTCCCCTCCAACTCAGAATATTCTGTGATTCTGTGACGGTACCAGCAAGGTGCCAAAAGTGAAATGCTACAGGGCCCAACTCCAGGCATGTGGCAACAAACCCTCCGTGCTGGGATCAGATGGTGTCACCCTTTGTGTCCCTCCGGCACCCAACACTCACCCCTCACTTACCAGACACTCTGTCGACACTGTACATCCTCTCCAGCCTCTTCCTGTGCCACCCAGTCTCGCTGGGCGGATGCTGCTCCAGGTCAAAGGATTGCTGGGAAGGGGCAGCCAGGCGGGTGCAGTTTGGGCACTCCTTGGAGCCCTGGCGGCTGCCTGGCCAGGCCTTGCAGTGCCTGCTGACGCCGTGGGAGCCGCCGGCGCCGTGCCCGTGGTGGCCGTGGTGACACTCGTCCTGGGCAGCCCCCTTCATCACCACCAGCTCCATGCTGCCGTTCTCGTGCTCCGACAGCATCGGCCTCTCGCCGGAGATCGTGTACACCCGGGGCTTGGCTGCCTCGCTCGGGATCTTCTCCGCCTGCTCCTCAAAGCTCCTCTCAAACTTGCCGTCCGAGATGACCGAGAGCCTGCGCTTGTTCTGCGCCGCCTGCTGCAGCTCGGGGGAGTCCTCCTGCCCGATGTAGGAGTCTGCTAACAGGTGATCTGAAACAAGAGGCACGTGCTCCTTAAAACCAAAGCACCCCAGATTCAAATTCACGAGGCTCTTTGCTACTGCTGCAGAAAGGGGAGCAAGGAGAGAAATACAGCAGGTTCCCCCAGGAACCGTTTCAGATGAATGTGTGCCCACTGCTGCCTTCTAAACCTCCAGAGCTGGCACTGAAATGAGAGACATTTCTCACAAACAGGCCCAATATTTTAAGCATGTGTGGCCACCAATGCAGGTCTTATTGCACAGCCTGAAAATGCTCCCATGCAAGACAGCCCTGGTTCAGCTGCAACCCTTTGTGCTCCAGCGGGTTCTGAGCTGGTCACAGTCTGCAGGACAAGGGTCAGCACAAACCTCTCCAAGTGCCAAACTCTGTTTTACGCATCAGGTTCTTTTAGAACACTGGGAAAGGGTTTGGGTTTTTTCCTCCTGATTTCTGCCAACAGGGCAGGTACTGATCCTGGCTGTGTGTACAGACTAGGGAACCAAAGGCTGGAGAGAAGTGCTGCAGAAAGGCACCTGGGGGTCCTGGTGGTGGCCACTTGGCCCTGAGTCAGCAGTGCCCTGGCAGCCAGGAGGGCCAAGCCTGTCCTGGGGGGCACCAGGCCCAGCATGGCCGGCCGGGCCAGGGAGGGGCTTGTCCCGCTCTGCTCTGCCCTGGGGCGGCCTCCCCTGCAATATTGGGGCAGTCTGGGGGGACACAATGGAAGGAAGAGCTGAAGCCATTAGAGAGTGTCCAAAGGAGGCAATGAGGATGGGGAAGGGCCTTGATTTGAAGCCGGGGGAGGACACTGAGGGCATTTGGGGTGTTCAGCTGGAGGAGACTAAGGGGAGACCTCACTGGGGTCTTCAACATCCTCCTGAGGGGCAGCAGAGGGGCAGCTCCAGTCTCTGCTCCCTGTAAGCAGTGACAGGACCCAAGGGAATGGCCTGGAGCTGCATCAGGACAGGGTCAGGTTGGATCTCAGGTAAAGGTTCTTCCCCCAGAGGGTGGTTGGGCACTGACCAGGCTCCCCAGGGCAGTGGGCACAGCATCAACCCTATCTGAGTTCAAGAAGCATTTGGACAACACTCTCAGGGACAGGGTGGGATTGTTGGGGTGTCCTGTGCAGGGCCAGGGAGTTGGACTCAATGACCCTTGTGGGTGCCTTCCAACTCAGATATTCAATGATTCTATGAGATGAAAGAAATGCAGAAAGACTTCAGCTGAGAGGTGCAGCACAGCACCCGCTCCCCACAGCACCCCTGGCCAGCACCCACTGTGTGTGCAGACAGTGACAGCACAGCCCGTGGAAGTGGAAGTTGTCCTGGAGGAAAACACAGCCACTCCCTTTGTAGGGTAGGAAGATCGAAAGGAGAGAGACCCATGAGTGTAACTATCTTTGGAGCCCACACACTGGATGAAGTGCCAGGAAATCTCAGCATTTCCATGGCAATTCCATGCATGAACCCAACAGTAGCTCCCACCCACCTGCTAATCCTTTTTCAAGTGGCTGTTAATTACCTCTTACACTTCCCTTCAGATGGGAAGCAGCTATAGGGGACTGGCAAAAAGGCTCAGCAGGGAATGCATTATTCATGTGACTACTACCCCCAAAAAATGAAATCATTAGTGTCCAGCACAGACAGCAGCACTTAAAACAGAGACAGAAGGAAAACCCGAGCCTTCACTTCAGTAGATATTTAAGGAGCTACTGAGTCATGACCTGGAAGAACTCAGCCACAGTTTGAGGCTTGGCTGTCTTGATACTGGCCATGAAGAGATGAAGGAGGAAGAAATCTTATCTCAGGACAAGACTGGTGGTGTTTGAGTGTGGCAGGGCCTTTCACTGCTGCCACATTCTGCTGCCTTTGAAGGGCTCCTGTGACCCTCTCAGAAGAGCCTTCCCAAGCTGCAGACTGTCACATTTTGAATCTGAAATCCATCCTGGACTGGGCTCAGGTTGCCCAGGGCCTCTCCCCCTGCTGTGTTTGCAACCGAGACTGACCAGAACTGAGCTGGTCCAGGGTGTCACCCTTATCTCATTTTTCTGCTTGAGATACAACTTCCTCCAGCACCACCAGGAGATAAATATGTCTCTGGCCACTCTGCTCAAGGAGTGATTGTCAGGACTGCTCAAGCTGACACAACTCAGGTTTCATTTCATTTGTCTCCTAGTGACACCTCACAGCCTCTGGATACTGGAGCTGACCAGGAGGAGACACTGCAGGAGTCCTAAAGAAAGAGCTGTGCCTGCTGAACTTGTGGCTGATGCTGTCTTTCCAGGCTTCACATGAAGTCAAAAATGCATGTCTAGACATAGTGAGGAGTCATGCACCTCACTGATACTGTCCAGGTAAAATAGGAAAGGCAGGCAGTGGTCTGCCTTTACCAAATAAAGGTAAAATAGGAAAGGCAGGTGTGGACATCAGCACCTGCTCCAGGAGGAAAGCCTGATGGACAACAAGGGCCATTCCAGGGGAAAAACCAGCAGCTTGTCCACCCAGTCCTACCAGCTGCAGGATACAGTGTCACAGACCAACCAGTGCAGAAGGTGTCCACAGGCTCCAAAGCCTCTCCAACCACATTTCACACCTCAAAGGGCAGCAGGCATGGGGATCTGCTCTCCAGCACCTGAGATCCTCTCCAGTTCCAAGACTAACTGTGCTCTAGAGTGGGTGTGTCTTGGGAAAACACCACCAAAGGACTCTCCGAGATCTGCCAAGATCTGTGCTGGCTAATTGTGCCAAGCACACCATTTTTAAAATTAAAAACAAAGGCCAGTTCTCAGTACTCATCTCAACTTGTCAAACTTACTAATCTGTGTGGGCACAGTGACGCTACAGATTTCTCAACCACCACAGAATCGTGGCTGACAGCTGCCCCTGCTCCTCCTGAAATTAATACTAGGATGGAAGATGTACAGCCTCCTCAGAGCAAACACACAGGAGTGTCACCTTCCCTCACACACTGACAGCAGCACAATTCAGAGATCCAGGAACTCCTGAGCTCTGGGATCTGTGGCTAAATGGAAAAATGAAGCCCCCAAAGCACAGTATGTCTGGAAACAGTGATGATCACAAGTGCAAAGAGACCAATTCCAGTCTCTGTTTTATAAGCACTGAGGTCTGTTCAGCCCCGTAAAATTTACAGACATGCAAGTGGGACACGACTGGTTTCATGTAAAAGTCAGATTTTTTACTGAAATCCTGGCAGCATTACAATTCTTGACCAGATATATTTGACATCAACTACCTGTCTGATCTAGCATGCAAAATGCGAGGACAATTCTTTCTTCCTACCTTACTTGTCCCTTCCTCAAGGTGTTTTCACTTGTACTTGTGTAGGAGTTTTCATGATTTACACTACAAAAGGCTGCCAGCACACCAATGTGTTTTCTTTTTGTGAAACAATTGAATAATTCTACATTTTCATTCAATTGAGCACCTTCAGTAACTACACACTGAAGAAAGAACTCCATATGCAAAGGGAATGTGAAGCTTTGTTCCAGACTTGTTGTTAATAAGGAATTTCTCTACAGAAAAAAGCCAGTATGGAAGGAAAAGAGATTCAAATAACCATCATAATGACTTATTGGCTGCTAAAACTGAACCTGCACCATTTCAGGAGCAAGTCTGTGTACTCATATACGTGAAATCACACAAACAGGCAGCCCCAAGATGTGACCAGTGACCTTTTCTGTGCTTGCAGCAAATTGGATGCAGGTGCCACCTGCCTCCACTGTGGCATTTTAGGTTAATAGTTTGCTTCTGATAAGAAAGAAGCCAGGCTGGTCCAGGAATCGATGCTGAATTAGATCTGAGCCACAGGGATGTTGAGTGGCGAGACAGAGGGACACCAAGGGGAGTTCAGCAGTGACTGGGAGTCAGCTGCAGCAGGCTGCTGTTAACACCCTGTGCCTGGTGACTGCTGCTCCCCTCATCTCATTGTCACATTGCTCTTGTCACTTCTCCCACTCCCAGCTGCTCCATCCAACTGCCACAGCAGCCCAGGCCAGCGTGACTTGGGACTCCTGGCACAGCTCCCTCCTCTCCAGCCGCTCCAGTGAACCTGACCTGGGAATGCCCCTGCTCTCCCACTTGCCTTCAGCAGCAACACCTTTGTCTCACACAGCTGCAAAGCTACTTGGGACCAGACAAATCAGGTTCCTTTTCATCTAGATTTCTGCTCTACGTGGATTTGTTGTGCCTGAGATACTTAACAGCAAGATGAAGGGAAGGAGACCAACGTGCTTGATCTGTAGATCATGAGCCCAAACATCCAAATGGTATTTTCATCACTTCCCTGCCACCTGGGCCGAGTCCAACAGCCTGTCCAGAGCCCAGGGGCTTGACAGTCCAGTCCTGAGGGCCAACCCACTTCTCACCCCCCTTGTCATTTACTTGAACACACGTCTTTTTGGCCTCACTTGCTCCTGTCTGACATTTCTTTCTTCACCTTCCACACAGCACTGCCCACCACACTCCACAGGGCACGTGTATCACCAAAGACACTGACAGCAGTGACAATCTGTGCTGGGTAACTGGCAGTGTCTTGGAAAAGAGAGAATCCATATTTTCAGTCCATGTAGCTCCCGATAATTAGACCCTTATTAGATACAATACATCCTTTCTCAGTCAGTAACTCTAACCTGAGCACTCGCTCTGACCCAGGGAACTGTGAAAGGACTTGGGCTGTTTTTCTTTCGCTGTCACCACGTTTCTGCAGAGCAGGGAACAGGCTGGGATCAGCCCCAGCTGACTGATGGCCATCCACAACTCACAGAGCCAAACTCGCCTCTGCTGCAGACTGCCTTGTAACCCCGTGGGATGAGAAGTTTATAAATCAAGGCAGAACATAGCCAAAAGGCACAGACAGAAGCACCAAATTTATTCCTGCATTTAGCAGCTAAACTGATGATTAAAGCACCTTAGATTTAAAGCTTCCGCTCCAGCATCAGAAGCAAAGTGGCAAAGGGGAATCCAGATAAACCCTATTAAAAGAACCTCTGTCATC